ATATATATATATATATATATATATTTTTTTTTTTTTTTCCCCATCCACACTTTTTTTTTTTCTTTTATTTCAGCAACCTATAAACAAAGCCTATCAAGTGAGGTAACGAGAAAACTTGAAGCAACTTTTCCTTTTCGTTACGTTTTCCCCTCTTCATTCTTCCACAGGATTATACTCAGCATGTCTGACTCTTCTTAGGGAAGTATCTTCTTTTGTGATTTACTAAAAATAAAGCCACATCAGTTACTTGTTGTCTTGCTACCCACATGATTGGGAATCCCTTAACATGTGTGTCTGTCTCATTCTAATTGTCCTTAAAAGGGTTTGTGATCACAATTGTTGCCCTGTGTTCTGTTTACTCCTATTTTCATACACAGACTGCCCAACCTACTGCTCAGCAGTGGATGGAATATCCAAACTTAAAGCAACAGCTGGTGTTGTTGGCTGATACATTTTCTGGAAGACTAGCTTGGGGCAGCACCACAGGAGACCCATGACTGTGATCACAGAGGAGAAAAAAAAATTTTTTAAATTAATTGCTGAAGAATGGCAGCCTGAGGAAACACAGTATAGGACCCACGGAGAGGTTCTACACATTAATGTGGGGACATTGTGGGCCCCTTTTATTCTCTCATAACATATTCAACTCATCAAAAATTCTTGGCTTTCTATGTCCAAATCCATAACCCAAAGCATACTGTTTTCCTCTGTCCAATGCTTACACATTGACTATAACAAACTAATAATCACCTCTCATTTGGATTGTGTTAAAGTTTCCTGACTAGCCCCTCTATTTCCACTCTTATTCCTTTTCTGTTTAATCTTCACACAGCAGCCAGAATTCTCTTCAAAGTGGATATCAGGATGTCACTTGTTTCAAAGAGCTTTCAATCTCAGAATGATAGCCAATGATGTTGTGCCATATCCTACATTGTCTCTGACCTTAACTCCTACTAGAGGCAACCCTCAGTATTTGTGTGATGGGAGATGTCATTCTGTAAATATGTTTCTTATTGGTTAATGAATAAATCACTGTTGCCCAATAGGAAAGCAAGATAGGCAGCTCTCAGGTCTGGTGGCAAAGTTAACCCCACCATCTTTGATAGACAGAGGCTAATACAGCTGTGGCTTTCATTTTAACAATGTTGTTTATCAGATAAAAGACTGGTGGCCAGAAAATGATAAAGATTTACAGTGAAGACAGATTCAGATTAAGAAAAAGCTCTAAAAGTATAGAGTATGTTTTAAAATAGGTTTGGAAAAGAAAAAGGATACAATGGTGAGAAAAAGAAACAGGATACAATTGTTTAAAAAAGAATAATAAAAAGAGAGTAGCTGGATGTGGTGGCACATGCCTTTATTCCAGCACTGGGAGACAGAGACAAGCAGATCTCTGTGATTTCAAAGTAAATATGGTATACAGAATTAATTCCAGGACAGATAAAATTTACACAGAGAAACCCTGTCTCAAAAAATTAAAAAATAGAAGTAGAAGAAAGAGAGTAATAAAATAGCCACGTAAAGATGGAAATCACAAAAAGAGTCTACACCTTTTTAGAAGTTAGAATCCACCAGCTCTCTCTCTCTTAATTTACCTACTCTAAATCTTCTTTTCTCTATCAAGAAAAAATGTCAATTCTGAACATGATGTATATTTTTTGATTACACTTATTGATTATGGTCTATTCTGAAATAGTCCATTGAGTATAACACACCATCCTCTCCAACAAGAATTATGCCTGAGGTGCAACAGGCAATCAGTAAATTAACAATGACAGAATCATAGAGGTACATTAATGAATGTCCATGCCAAATTGACTACATTCGAGAAACTCAGTGAGGACAGATGGAAACTACATGGCTTCAGGGTGAACAGGCAGGGTAGGAGAAGATGATAAAGCAAGCTGGTATTTACTGTCTATTATGTAATAAGTACAATGTTTGAACTTGTCATGCTCTCTCATGTAATGAATCCATCCAAAGACAGTGCAAGTGAGTATTATAAATTTCTCTTTCAGATGCCAAATTTTCACAGCTACTAAGTACATCTAATTTGAAAATATTGTCATAAAAATGTGTACTACATACTTTTTGTTACAGTGATAAAATACCATGAGAAAAAGAAATTTATAGGATGAATTAATTTTGTCCTACAGTTCCACTGGAATAGATTTCATTATGGCAGCAGTTGGCTATAGTAGGGAGCTAAGGGATCATATCTCAGAAACATAAAAGAAGAAGAGAGAATAAGCAGGAAATGAGGTAAGGTCATAAATTCTTAAGGCCCTCCTCCATACTTCAGCTAGGCTTCACACTGTAATCATTCCACAAGCCCCCACCCCCACCACCAACCTGGGACCAAGGAGTTAAATATATGAGTCTGTGATGAGACATTTCTCTTTCAGACAACAATAACTAACTAGACAATTTACTTCAGGTCAGACATAGGCATGAAGGTGTGTAGGAAGTCAAAAGAAGCTAAAAAAGCAAAGCATGTTCACACCTGACACCAGATAATGACAACTTATATTTTCAAAACTTCAGTTAAAATTCTTCAAGTATGTAAAAACATGAATCAAATTGAATAGTCCCATTATTGTTTCTTAGCATTTTATCTCACAGGGTTCTGATTTGAACAAGATACATCCAAAATAATAGTTTTAAAATTATATGCAGACAGCCAATATTGCTAGTCAAACTATTGATCCTCCAGTCTCCCAGATACTTTCAATCAAAAGCTGATATACAGTAAAAAGGATGAATTATGATACACATACATCATAGTATATTGATATTCTCTTAAGATTTGAGAACATTTCCTACATTAACTAAGGAAAAACAATTCCTCAGAATTATAGTCATAACTGACAAAACCTGTCAGTTATAGTTTATATTTTCTCTCGCTTTATAACAATTGTTTTGCGAAGAAATTAAAAAGTTCTCTACTAGAGACTTTAGGAGAAGGCTACCAAGACTTTCACACTGGCAGTTTTTTAGTCTCAAGCAAACACCAGTCACAAAGGTAGAAGTAGGCAGCCTGGAGTGGTGGCTGAGGCAGCAAGAAGGCTGGGCATCACCAGTAAACCTAACCACGTGTAAATACACAGATTAATAGATATGGATTAATAATTAAGAGAGAGCTAGTCAATAAGAAGCCTAAGCAATTGGCCAAACAGTTTATTATTAATATAATCCTCTGTGTGTTTATTTAGGATTAAAGGGCTGCAGGTCCTGGTGGGACGGGGACTCCATCTTCAAGATACTATCTTTTTCTCTCTCGTTCTTTCTCATTTCCCCCCTCCCTCCCCCTCCCTTCCCTCCTTCCTTTCTTTCTTTCTTTTTTTGAGACAGGTTTTCTCTGTGTAGCTCTTGCTGTCGTGGAACATACTCTGTGGACCAGAATGGCCTCAAACTTACAGAGATCCTCCTGCCTCTGCCTTCTGAGTGTTGAGATTAGAGGTATGAGCCAACACCATCTGGCTTTATATCTGGTTTTTAAAATGTATTTAGTCAAATGTATTTAATTCCAGCACTTGGCAGAGGAGGTCAGATCTCTATGGGTTTGAGACCAGCCTGATCATTTTAGCTAGTTCTATGATAGAAGTACAAAATGAGATCCCGTCTCATATATATGTATTTATTTAGTGTGTGCATGAGAGAGAGAGAGAGAGAGAGAGAGAGAGAGAGAGAGAGAGAGAGAGAGAGAGAATGTGTGGATACCAAGGTCAGAAGACAATTTGTGGGAGTCTGTTTTCACCTTTTATCATGTGGTTCCTGGCAAATGAACTCAGAGTATTAGGATTGGTGGCAAATTACTGTATCAACTAAGCATTATACTGGTCCATATGTTCCTTTAATAGAGTGGTTCTCTACCTGCCTAATGCTTCAGTTTTTAAATACCATCCCTCATGTTGTAGTAACCCCCAATCAAATTTATTTTTATTGCTACTTCGTAACTGCAATGTGCTAGTTATGAATACTAAAGTAAATATGTAGTATTTCTGATAGTCTTAGTAGACTCCTGTGAAAGTGTGGTTTCCTGCTAAGGCTCACAGGTTAAGAACCACTGCTTTAATATATAAACAACATCTTAATTTTTCAATATATATAATATCAAACTACACTTAGGCTGCTGTGTAGTTTGATATTATATATCAAATGTCTATAATCCCATGTCTGAAGAGCTAAAAGCAGGAGAATCAGGTAAATAAGATTGAAGCCAATCTGGACTACCTGAGATCCTCTCTGAAAAATATAGAAGAAAAAGAAAATTGTATATGCAAATGGAAATCTCATTTAAAAGGCCCCATTACAATTTTTAATTTGTTAATTTTAAACATTTTTAATCAACTGATGATCTCAAAATATTTACATGTTACTTTTAATTATGTTTTTTTGACTATAAAAATCTTAAAAGTTTCTTCCTGGTTAGCTCAATCTGGCTAGATAGTGATCCATCTTACTAGTACTTTCCAAGAACATGCTTTTGGTTTCAAGTACTAGATAAAAATGTCTCCATTCTTCCTGGATTGTAACAAAATAGGAATAAGGAAAAACAGCCAATTGTTATTGAAAGAGCAAAGTTTGGTGTGGCTGATAACATTTTAACTTTTCAACTTAACTATTAAAGGAAATTATTTGAGTTGTCTTCAGAGCTTAGGCATAGATCAGGAATAGTAATTCCTGATAAGAATTGGTTGTAGTTATTTAAGCCATGAAAAAGTAATCTTTTGCTCATAGGTTAAAGGAACTTTCAGCTCCAATTTACTTTTTTTACATGGCACTTATGATTACCATGAACACAATACTTACTTATTTGTGTGTGTGTGTGTGTTTTTTTTTTTTTTGTATCCTTCCCTTTCTAGAAGGTAAGCATCCTAGGCATAAGGGCTTTGCTCATGTTTTCTGCTGGTGTGTGTTTATGGTAATGGATATTAAATCCAGGGCTTCAATTACAAACACACACTCTTCCAATGAGCTACACCTCAACCTCCTTCTTTACAACTCCAAAACTAGTACATAACAGTAAATGGTAGGAGTTTTATGAGTATCTGTTCAATGAAGTTTCTCTTATATCTGATAATCATCTGATTAAAATTTATGGGCATCCACAATGTTCTAGAAAGATGAAGTGAGAAAGTAACTATGACTTTTTGGGAACAAGCAGTTGTAGATAAAACTTTAGATAATTTCCTATTGTCCAGGAATATTCACTTCATTTAAAGGTTATATAATTGCTTTATTATGACCCTCCATAGTTTAGGATCTTTATAAACACTTTATAACAAAAGCTTATATTCAAAATGCTGTACCCTTACAAAAAGATCACAGACTTTCCACAAGTTAATGCCAATCACTTTCAAATACCATACTTAGAAGGCATGTGAGAGGAACATAGATTTATGAAGTCAGTCAACAGTAGCAGACAGAATGTTACCTAAGTAAACTCTGCTCTTAGCTCTCCTTTGGTAATGTCCCCCCCAGGTTTCCTCATTAATTAAAAAAATAATTTAGCTTCCTTCTAAAAAGTAGATAGGCTTTTTTTTTTTTTTACTTACACTTGATAAGTTCAGATAAATGATCAGACCTTTTGAAAAACAACACACCAATTCCCTTGATCATAGTAGCTCTTCAGAATGCTTATATCACCCAGAGCCTGGCAGGAAGCTTCTAATTCTCCATCACAAAAAACATGGTAGTAACGATGAAACACAGGACTTGGGTCAGGGCTTCTTGTTAAGTCAAATGGCTCAATAGCCCTGTCTTTATCGGGGTTGCCCTTGAGGTGCCAGGGAACCAGCACATCTTGGGAATGAAAACAAGTCCTGTTTGTATGGACAGGAAGCTCAACTTTCCTTGGCTGACATCCTTCCTCCTTGATGTTAACAGTGGAGGGGAGAGATGATGGTGGGTCTTCACTGCCTCCATCCGTAATCTGATTTACTAGAAACCCTTCAGTAGACTTATCACCGTTTATGTCCTCTTTATCTTCGTTGCTAGTTTTGCTCCCTCGAAGGTATGAAGACTTCTGATTTTTATATTCTTGTTCCATTGCCCAGACATATATGAGGGCCTGCCCTCCAGGTCTCAGGAGACGGGCAAGTTCTTGGAGAGCTGCCACTCTACGCTCCTAAAAGAAAATTTAAAATGAAATAGCTGTCACTTATTAATCCAGAGAAGACAAAGGAAGTGGAAAATATTATTAAATTTAGAACTGTCTGGAGATTCCTCAAACTCTACATAAAATATCTGCCTAAGGCACTGCCAAGCAAGCCTGCAGGCTAGATCTGAATAAGTTTAATTTACAGTGTTGGAAATAGATTACAAGTAGGAAACAAAACAAAACAAAACAGAAACAGAAAAGAAAAAAAGAAAAGAGGAAGATTCCCTGACCTGAACATACCAGGAACTCAGTACAGGAACTGAGTAAAAGGAAGTCAAAGCAGCTGAGATGCAGGGGACAGAATCACAGATAAAGGAGGAACTGCAGGGAAATGCAAAGTCCTCTAAAGGCATCTTCCAGTTCCCATGCTGCATGAGCACTGAGTAAAACTCAAGAACCCAGCAGAGGTTGGAAAGTAAAGCAAAGGCTTCAGAAATCAAACAGTTCTGGAGACAGAAGATGACCTTATAGTGTTCAAGAAACAATAGCCCAGATATAAACCAAGCTTATCTCGAAACCATAAGAAGAGATAGAAATAATAGCTAAAATCTGGCCTCAGCAGAACAGAAAGCCATTGCTTAAAGAATTAAAGTAACAGCTTATATGTACTTGTTGGTCTTAAAGCACTGCTCTTTGAAAGAGGACAGAAAAATCTATACTATGTAATATAAAACAATGATAATAAACATGCGGTATATTAAAAGCAATCATGACCAAAGCCCAAAAGCCAGAGGCAAAGACAGACTAGAAAAATAAACCCCCAAGCCAGAAGACGGCGCCAGGCGTCTATCTCTATCCCTTTTAACCTTGCTCCCTTTAGACAAATAGTCCTTTGAACTTAAAGCTGGCTAGACTGCCTGCTAGACTGCCAGCCAGTAAACCCCACAAAGCCTCTTACCTCTGTCACCCTCAGCACTGGAGTTACAGGTGTGTGTGTGTGTGTGTGTGTGTGTGTGTGTGTATCATGCCCAGCTTTTATGTTTTATGTGGGTGCTAGGATCGTAACTCTTGTCTTTACACTTGCATCTTAGAAAGTGCTCTGAACTACTGAGTTATCTCTCTAGCACCAGGAGTATTTTAGTATATGTAAAAGAAAGGGTACATAACTACTGCTGAGAGAGAGAGAGAGAGAGAGAGAGAGAGAGAGAGAGAGAGAGAGAGAGAGAGAGAGAGAGAGAGAGAGAATGTGTGGATACCAAGGTCAGAAGACAATTTGTGGGAGTCTGTTTTCACCTTTTATCATGTGGTTCCTGGCAAATGAACTCAGAGTATTAGGATTGGTGGCAAATTACTGTATCAACTAAGCATTATACTGGTCCATATGTTCCTTTAATAGAGTGGTTCTCTACCTGCCTAATGCTTCAGTTTTTAAATACCATCCCTCATGTTGTAGTAACCCCCAATCAAATTTATTTTCATTGCTACTTCGTAACTGCAATGTGCTAGTTATGAATACTAAAGTAAATATGTAGTATTTCTGATAGTCTTAGTAGACTCCTGTGAAAGTGTGGTTTCCTGCTAAGGCTCACAGGTTAAGAACCACTGCTTTAATATATAAACAACATCTTAATTTTTCAATATATATAATATCAAACTACACTTAGGCTGCTGTGTAGTTTGATATTATATATCAAATGTCTATAATCCCATGTCTGAAGAGCTAAAAGCAGGAGAATCAGGTAAATAAGATTGAAGCCAATCTGGACTACCTGAGATCCTCTCTGAAAAATATAGAAGAAAAAGAAAATTGTATATGCAAATGGAAATCTCATTTAAAAGGCCCCATTACAATTTTTAATTTGTTAATTTTAAACATTTTTAATCAACTGATGATCTCAAAATATTTACATGTTACTTTTAATTATGTTTTTTTGACTATAAAAATCTTAAAAGTTTCTTCCTGGTTAGCTCAATCTGGCTAGATAGTGATCCATCTTACTAGTACTTTCCAAGAACATGCTTTTGGTTTCAAGTACTAGATAAAAATGTCTCCATTCTTCCTGGATTGTAACAAAATAGGAATAAGGAAAAACAGCCAATTGTTATTGAAAGAGCAAAGTTTGGTGTGGCTGATAACATTTTAACTTTTCAACTTAACTATTAAAGGAAATTATTTGAGTTGTCTTCAGAGCTTAGGCATAGATCAGGAATAGTAATTCCTGATAAGAATTGGTTGTAGTTATTTAAGCCATGAAAAAGTAATCTTTTGCTCATAGGTTAAAGGAACTTTCAGCTCCAATTTACTTTTTTTACATGGCACTTATGATTACCATGAACACAATACTTACTTATTTGTGTGTGTGTGTGTGTTTTTTTTTTTTTTTGTATCCTTCCCTTTCTAGAAGGTAAGCATCCTAGGCATAAGGGCTTTGCTCATGTTTTCTGCTGGTGTGTGTTTATGGTAATGGATATTAAATCCAGGGCTTCAATTACAAACACACACTCTTCCAATGAGCTACACCTCAACCTCCTTCTTTACAACTCCAAAACTAGTACATAACAGTAAATGGTAGGAGTTTTATGAGTATCTGTTCAATGAAGTTTCTCTTATATCTGATAATCATCTGATTAAAATTTATGGGCATCCACAATGTTCTAGAAAGATGAAGTGAGAAAGTAACTATGACTTTTTGGGAACAAGCAGTTGTAGATAAAACTTTAGATAATTTCCTATTGTCCAGGAATATTCACTTCATTTAAAGGTTATATAATTGCTTTATTATGACCCTCCATAGTTTAGGATCTTTATAAACACTTTATAACAAAAGCTTATATTCAAAATGCTGTACCCTTACAAAAAGATCACAGACTTTCCACAAGTTAATGCCAATCACTTTCAAATACCATACTTAGAAGGCATGTGAGAGGAACATAGATTTATGAAGTCAGTCAACAGTAGCAGACAGAATGTTACCTAAGTAAACTCTGCTCTTAGCTCTCCTTTGGTAATGTCCCCCCCCCAGGTTTCCTCATTAATTAAAAAAATAATTTAGCTTCCTTCTAAAAAGTAGATAGGCTTTTTTTTTTTTTTACTTACACTTGATAAGTTCAGATAAATGATCAGACCTTTTGAAGAACAACACACCAATTCCCTTGATCATAGTAGCTCTTCAGAATGCTTATATCACCCAGAGCCTGGCAGGAAGCTTCTAATTCTCCATCACAAAAAACATGGTAGTAACGATGAAACACAGGACTTGGGTCAGGGCTTCTTGTTAAGTCAAATGGCTCAATAGCCCTGTCTTTATCGGGGTTGCCCTTGAGGTGCCAGGGAACCAGCACATCTTGGGAATGAAAACAAGTCCTGTTTGTATGGACAGGAAGCTCAACTTTCCTTGGCTGACATCCTTCCTCCTTGATGTTAACAGTGGAGGGGAGAGATGATGGTGGGTCTTCACTGCCTCCATCCGTAATCTGATTTACTAGAAACCCTTCAGTAGACTTATCACCATTTATGTCCTCTTTATCTTCGTTGCTAGTTTTGCTCCCTCGAAGGTATGAAGACTTCTGATTTTTATATTCTTGTTCCATTGCCCAGACATATATGAGGGCCTGCCCTCCAGGTCTCAGGAGACGGGCAAGTTCTTGGAGAGCTGCCACTCTACGCTCCTAAAAGAAAATTTAAAATGAAATAGCTGTCACTTATTAATCCAGAGAAGACAAAGGAAGTGGAAAATATTATTAAATTTAGAACTGTCTGGAGATTCCTCAAACTCTACATAAAATATCTGCCTAAGGCACTGCCAAGCAAGCCTGCAGGCTAGATCTGAATAAGTTTAATTTACAGTGTTGGAAATAGATTACAAGTAGGAAACAAAACAAAACAAAACAGAAACAGAAAAGAAAAAAAGAAAAGAGGAAGATTCCCTGACCTGAACATACCAGGAACTCAGTACAGGAACTGAGTAAAAGGAAGTCAAAGCAGCTGAGATGCAGGGGACAGAATCACAGATAAAGGAGGAACTGCAGGGAAATGCAAAGTCCTCTAAAGGCATCTTCCAGTTCCCATGCTGCATGAGCACTGAGTAAAACTCAAGAACCCAGCAGAGGTTGGAAAGTAAAGCAAAGGCTTCAGAAATCAAACAGTTCTGGAGACAGAAGATGACCTTATAGTGTTCAAGAAACAATAGCCCAGATATAAACCAAGCTTATCTCGAAACCATAAGAAGAGATAGAAATAATAGCTAAAATCTGGCCTCAGCAGAACAGAAAGCCATTGCTTAAAGAATTAAAGTAACAGCTTATATGTACTTGTTGGTCTTAAAGCACTGCTCTTTGAAAGAGGACAGAAAAATCTATACTATGTAATATAAAACAATGATAATAAACATGCGGTATATTAAAAGCAATCATGACCAAAGCCCAAAAGCCAGAGGCAAAGACAGACTAGAAAAATAAACCCCCAAGCCAGAAGACGGCGCCAGGCGTCTATCTCTATCCCTTTTAACCTTGCTCCCTTTAGACAAATAGTCCTTTGAACTTAAAGCTGGCTAGACTGCCTGCTAGACTGCCAGCCAGTAAACCCCACAAAGCCTCTTACCTCTGTCACCCTCAGCACTGGAGTTACAGGTGTGTGTGTGTGTGTGTGTGTGTGTGTGTGTGTGTATCATGCCCAGCTTTTATGTTTTATGTGGGTGCTAGGATCGTAACTCTTGTCTTTACACTTGCATCTTAGAAAGTGCTCTGAACTACTGAGTTATCTCTCTAGCACCAGGAGTATTTTAGTATATGTAAAAGAAAGGGTACATAACTACTGCTGAGAGAGAGAGAGAGAGAGAGAGAGAGAGAGAGAGAGAGAGAGAGAGAGATCAATTTAAGAAATTCTCTTTTTTTTCAGTAGGAAAATGAAGAGAACTTTTACTTAATTCTGGAGTATGTTTTTCACAGTTATCTGGATTCTTTGTAACTGTCACTTCCAGAAATGGAAGGAAGGAAATAGCAACATAGCTTTCCCTTTAGAGGCTTCCTGTCGAGGTCTGTTTTCAATTGATTATGTGTTCTAAGAAAATTTACCCTCAGTTTTTACAGACAGAAAAGGAGATATCTATTATTTTCATTAGACTTAGAAACTTTCCTGCCACAAACTAACCACGAAGTATGGCCTTTGTGCACAGATACTTTGTTCAATATTATCTATCCTTTTATAAAGATGGACCAAGGGTGTCAGTTAGGAGGGCTGGGCAGTCTATGGGGGCCTCTGGTAGTGTTCAAATGGACTTTGGGAGCCCATTCCACATAGAGGGATACTCTCTCAGCCTAGACACATGGGGGAGGGCTTTAGGCCCAGCTCCATACAGTGTTCCAGACTTTGAAGACTCCCCATGGTAGGCCGCACCTGACCTGGGGAGCAGAAAGGGGATGAGATAGGGGGTCAGTTGGGGGCAGGGGAGGATAAGAACTAGAGGGAACTGGAATTGACATGTAAAGCAAGATTGTTTCTAATTTAAATTTTAAAAAATCATAAAAAAGATGTAAGTTTATATACCAAAACTTTCCAAATCCACACAGTGTTTCAACAAGACAACTGTTTCCACATTGGAGATTAAATTCAAGTTAAGTGAGTAGACTCCACGATAATTCTATTACTCAAGTATTTTAGTTTTTATATGAATTAAAACCAATGTAACATATTTAACAATATGAGTTACTACTGATCTTATAAATTGTTTTGTTAGTTTCTCACATTTCTTTCAGTTCATTTGCTATAGTTTCTATTAATTCAAATAAAAACCAAGTGGTATACTTGAAAATGAGACTGGATTTCCACAATTGTTTTCATTTTAATGTTTTATAGCTATTTCCCTCTATGTTCTATATATGAGGAGACAAAGTTTAGCTAATCAAAATTAAATATACTAGCTCTCTTATGGTATAGAAAAACACAGTTACTTAAATCCAATGTAACTAAGAATTAAACACTTTTATCTTGGGCTAGGGAGATGGCACAGTAGCTAAAAGCTCTGGCCACTACCTGATGACCTGAATTCAATTCCCAGAACCCATATGTTGGAAGAAGAGAATTCACTCTCAAAATTTTTCTCTGACCTACATATGCATCCTGTGGCAAGTGCACATACACATTGATGGCCCCCTCTCCCACACACTCTAAATTAAAGGAATGCATATAAAGTTAAAGATTTTATATATCATCATTTCAGTTACTTTGCAAGGACTTAGGTTATAAATTAATGTTAAAAAACTACTAAAGTGTCCAGTCAAGAATAAAACAAGAAAGGCCTTATTTTCCATTAAAAAAAATAAATAAATAACTAAAACCTCAAACACCTTAAAATAACTAAGCTAATATGGCCATACAATTAGAAAAATTTCAATGAAGACATAAAATAAATTCTAGAATAGTATAAAACACATGAATTTAACAGTAATTTACAGATATCTCCACAGAGAATTACTGAGCTAGAATTCAAGCCTGCATAAATTACCTAGAATGAAGCAGAAATTAAAGGATGGCAAAATGTAGAAAGTAGTATCAATTTAGAATTCAAAATACAGTCAAAATAATAATTTAAATAGAGTTTAATTACACAAAAAAGGATATGATGCCAATATCTAAACACTTAATACCTAAATAAATATAGCAAAGAGAATTCAAGCAAAAGAAACCTAGTCTTTTAGAAACTTTTAAACAAGCTTCAAAGAAGGAAAACTAGAAAGAGTAAATATTGAAAAGTTCAAATAAATATTAAAAACTTAAAACAACAAAAATAATATAAAATATTACCATAATGGAAGTTAGAGAAGCTAAGTGTTATTCTGATACCTTACATTGCTAAAAGGGCTAAGCATAACAATGCAAGGTAGACTAATGTCATTGGGTATATATTGGGCACCATGGTGACCATTAAAAATAACCAAAGAGTATCTAATCAGCAAACTAGGGGAAGAGGAAAAACTACATTAAGACTATGAGGTACGTAATCAAAGAAAACTGTTATCCGTTTTTGTCACTGGTAAATGCCTGAGGAAAGCAATATAAAATGGAGATGTATTTTAGTTCACAGACTTTCTGTCCATGGCCATTTGACTTCTTGTTCCTAGGAATATGATGGGCTCATCAGAGAAGAGGACATCCTGGTAGAGCTGCTCACCTGATGGCAGCCAGGTAGCAGAGAGAGAGGAGGGGAACCAGGAATAAATATGCCATTCTCAGTCACTCTACTGATAAGCTCCTTACTTCAAATCAGGCCCCATCTCTTCATAGTCTATACAGCACATAGTAATCAATGAATTAACCCATGGATGGAGTTAGCACCCTCATGACCTAGCCAATCACCTTCCAAGAGCCACAGCTTGGGGTCAAGCCTTTGACACAACAGCCTTTTAAATTTATTTTTGGAGGATACTTCATGTTGAAACTATTACAAAAACTAGAAAAATAAAGAAAACAATGTAAGGAAAGACTTATTTTGACTCATACACACAAACTTTTCCACTATAGCTACAAGCTTTTAGAAGAGGGAAAAGCAATACTCACCGCAGTTGAAAAATGGTGAATGACAGCAATGGAGATGCAAGCATCAAAACACCCACTTCGGAATGGAACTGACAGTGCATCACAGACTAAGGCCTGGAACTGCCTCTCTCTACAAATGTCTACAAGGTTCTGGCTACGATCACACCCAATCTGTGACAGGGGAAAATGTGTAACACTTAGCTTACATGTCACAAGAGGTTTACTTCATACCTTAGACTAATCACACAAGTGTCATATAAATAAGCAAAAAACACATTAAAAGTCATAATAGTCAGTACAAAGTCATAACTGTAGTCAGAAAAATCAGTCATTATCAAACAAAAAAAGAGAACTTAGGCCAGACGTGATGGCATACACCATCAATCCAAGGAAGAGTCAGAGGCAGGCAAATCTCTGGGAGTTTAAGGCCAGCCAGTGTTTCATGGTGAAACACTGTTGTGGTGGTTGGTTTTAGTTTGTTTGTTTGTTTTTAATTGTTGTTAAAGATTATTTCAATTTTTAAAGCTATTATGACTTTTTTTTCTGTTAAATCCCTAGCCTTACAAAGAACAAAGCGCTGAATTCACAGTTTGCAAAATGATACTTGTTTAAACTGTTCTGTATATGAAAACCATCCTCAGTGGACAGAGCCACTGAAGGCAGCAAGCAGAGACAAAATTTCCACCGCCCCATGTGGATAAAGCACAATGAGTCCCATGACCACTCTGGTTCTGTGAAAGTATCTGAGGGCTTCCCATTTTCAATACAGCTTTGTTGTTTCTGTATAACCTTTACTGTTTAGGAACATATATATTGACACCCAGCTACTTATGCACTATGTATACCCATGTGTATAAACATGCATATCTATACAAATATAACTGTGATGTGTGATATGCACATGGAAGACATATGAAGGACTGAAGAAATGCTAACCAACCATTTAGTAATTATTCCCAGTCATTTCTTTATAACCAAACCCAATAATGAACAATGATTTTCACTCTGTAAAAACTTGTAACTACCCTTTATTCTCAGTACTCAGAAGGCAGAGGCAAGTGGATCTCTGTGAGTTCAAGGCCAGCCTGGTCTGTCTCAAACTGAGTTGCAGGACAGCCAGAGCTCTTACACAGAAAAATAATGTCTCAAAACACAAAACCAAACCAAAAAAATCAAAAATTGATAATCAAAGTGGCAGATGTAATCCAACAACAGTGGCCAGTCTGAGCTCATACTTACTCATTTCTTTTTTTCATCATAATGAACACTGATTTGAAAGTCTACTGTAGTCTTTCCAACAATAAAGAATATGAATTTTCTCATCAAAATAATTCTTGGTTGAGTTAAACCACACTGACATCCCTGTTACATTTATTAAGTGTGCTGGACTCCCAAATGGTATTAAATGATGTGTATATTCAATCCTTAGAGCTGCTTTTACTTTATGAAGTGTGATAAAGATTCCCAATTAGAGATAAAGTATAGCAATCCTTCCTAGGTATAATTCAATATGGGAATGTTCCAAAGGGCCATTAATAACAGCACTGGGGTCATTCCTAATTCTTCCATTTGTTTAATGGCCACTGACTGATCACACTTTATTTCCATCTATATTCTATACAACTCAGCCAATAAGTACAAACACTGAATGGAAACACCATTCAAATAATACATAGAATCTTGTGTAAGCCACATTAATTTCCTTACACTTAAATTCAGTTCTGAACTACAATCAGAAGCCATAAGTATGCCTACTTGTAACCAAAACCTGACTCTTATTAAAAGTCAACAGACAGATACCCAACCTGACTATAAAACAAAGCTTTTAAGGTAGGGTTCAATGCTTATTCAGAAGAAAATTGCTAAGAACAATGAAGATGATTTTGACAGTCTGGATATAGCATACCTTTACACAAACTAGAAAATACAGGCAACATGTCACACTAATTCCACTGATGAAAAAGTGCTCCAGGATGGCTCAAGACATTAGTCTTTCATTTGCTTTGCTAAAGTCTTCCACAAACTATAGTTAAATCATGTTGTTTTATTTGTTCTCTTCCTTTTATAAATACCAAGGATTGTATCATGTATTTGAAATTCTTCATAATAATTCTAAACAATGTACACAACAGAAAGACAGCCTATTTATAAGCAAAAATATGAGCTCAAGAACATTTTTTTTTCCTTTTTAAATTTAAATTTGAAACAAGGTTGTTTTACATGTCACTCCCAGTTCCCTCACCCTCCCACTCTCCTGTATCACCACCACCAAACCTCAGTCCATGCCCTTTCTGCTCTCCAGAGAGGATGAGGTCTTCCATAAGAAGTCTTCAATGTCTGTCATATCACTTGGGGCAGGGCCTAAGCCCTCCCCCATGTGTCTAGGCTGAGAAAGTATCCCTCTATGTGGGATGGGCTCCCATTCATTTACTAGGGATAAATACTGATCCATCACTAGAGGCCCCATAGACTGCCTAGTCCTCCTAACTATCACGCACATTCAGAGGGTCTGGGTTAGGCATATGCTGGTTTCCTAGCTATCATTCTGTAGTGCATGAGCTCCCCCTTGTTCAGCTGATTCTGTGGGTTTCTCCAGCTTGGTCTTGACCCCTTTGTTCATCACTCCTCCCTCTCTGCAACTGGATTCCAAGAATTTGGCTAGTGTTTAGCTGTGGGTGTCTGCTTCTGCTTCCATCAGCTACTAGATGAAGGCTCTAGGACGGTATATAAGGTAGTCATCAATCTCATAGGGGAAGGGCATTTAAGGTAGCCTCTCCACTATTGCTTTGATTGTTAGTTGGGTTCATCCTTGTAGATCTCTGGGCATTTCCCCAGTGCCAGATTACTCCTGAAATCTATAATGGCTCCCTCTATTGTGGTATCTCTTTTCTTGTTCTCCTCTATTCTTTCCCTGTTTCAATCTTCCTGTTCCCTCATGCACACCTCTCCCCTCCTCTTCTCCCCTCAAACTAGTATAGCTACTTTAGAAATCAGTATGGCGGTTCCTCAGGAAAATGGGAATTAATCTACCTCAAGATCCAGTAATTCCATTCTTAGGCATATACCCAAAAGATGCACATCCACACAACAAGGACATCTGTTCAACTATGTTCATAGCAGCATTATTTGTAATAGCCAGAACCTGCAAGCAACCTAGATGCCTCTCTACTGAATAATGGAGAAAATGTGGTACATTTCTCTGAGTACTACTCAGTGGAAAAACACAATGGAATCCTGAAATTCAAAGGGAAATGGATGGAACTAGAAGAAACCATCCTGAGTGAGGTAACCCACTCACAAAAAAGACAAACATGGTATGTAGTAACACACATATGGATTTTGGACATAGAGCAAAGAATCACCAACCTACATTTCACACCGCCAGAAAAGCTAGGAAACAAGGAGAACCCTAAGAGTGGCATACATGGTCCCCCGGAGAAGGGGAAAGGGACGAGATCTTCCAAGCAAATTAGGAGCATGGAGGGAGTTAGGAGATCAAGAACTCTTGAAAAGCTACATATTTTATTGTGCTGGGTGGACATCAAGGGCATAAATACATTAGCCTTAAAAACATTTTCTGTGCTCTATTTATGTATTTGCTATGTGCATATATGTGTTCATGTTCAGGCATGCTGCCATGCATGTGTGTTAGTCCTTGAGCTCCCCCTTGATTAATTCAGAATCTCTTGTTTTATTGCCATGTACACCAAGCTAGCTGACCCACAACCTTCCAAGAATTCTTCTGTCTCCTCTCATCTCATCAGAGGAGAGAGTGAATTATAGACACCTGCTACCACATCTGGATTTTGTGTTTGTTCTGAGGATTCCAAATCAGGTCTACTTGCTTATATAACAAGCACTTTGCACACAGAATATCTCCCCAGCTAAAACTTCTTTATTTTTAAAAATTTCAAAGAAAAATAAAACAAACCAAAACCCTAAATATGTGACTATAGAAGTAGAAGTAAAGCATAAAGCAATCATTAAAATAGAGTTCCATTTTCTACTATCAAAAACGTAACTTTTAGAGCAAGCAAGTAACTGATGTTTACCTTAGCAGGTGAGAAAGGAAAAAGAGAAAGAGACAGGGAGGATAGAAGAAGGGAGGGAAGGGGGAAGGGGGATGGGGGGAGGAAGCATACCCTTCAGAACAGAGAGTGGACTGCACTGAGCAGGACTCCCAGTTTTTAAACCAAAATGTCTCATAGTGTTGTCAGTGTGCTAGAATCTCTCCTTACATAATGCTGTTGACAGTATAAACTGGCACAGCCATTTAAAAAGCAATTGGTCACACTATCTTTAATTATTAAAATAAAAATGTCCACAACTTCTGTGGACTCTCTTCTAAAATGCAGTTTTAAAAATAACACAAATTCTAGAAAAAGTTAATCAGGCTAATAGCCAACTGACCTGTTTGGAATTCAGCCAGGCAGATTCTCTGTAACATATTTTCTGTTAGTTAGATTCCCATAATAGTGATGTGCCCAGAATAGATCACAGATTTAAAAACCTGATTGTATTATCCCTCCAAATCTATATTTTCTCTTTCTTGTCACAATGTTTTTCAACATACATGTTTGCATACAGTGAGCATAGTTTTGTGTGCATGATTTCTTTTCCATTATTATAGCATACATCCTCAACAGGAAATCTATCTCCTAACAAAACTAAGTGCAAAATTGTTTGTGTGTATGCATGCATGCACATGCTGCAGGAGGTGGAAACTAGAACCCAGAATTCACACACTCTATAAAGCACCGTGCCACTGAGATCAGCTCCCAGTCCTTCAGTGTTTTAAAACATTGAAAATAGCCATATATAGAGAAGTTTAAACTCACATAAATACTCTAGAAACTTTAAGAAACAATGTAAAAATGAGGATAAGTGATGTGCATTATCAAATTATATAATAACAGAAAAAACAATAAGAATTATGCTTAATATAAACTGTTTTGCTAGGGTAATAGGAATATAGGTAGGTGAATATCTTTCAGAAATGTTCTGAATAGGGGCTTTGCTTTTCTTAAAAATACACAATATTTGGGTTGCAGATATAGCTCAGCAGTTAAGAGCACTTGCTACTCTTGTAGAGGTCATGGGTTTTATCTGCAGCACCCATACATGGTGGCTAATTATCTGGTATATAACTCCAGTTCCTGGAAATGCAATTCCCATTACTAGCATACACAGAGTGCATACACATATACACAGCAAAGCAGAAACATACATAAAATAAGTACTTATAAAAAGATTTATATATACACACATATGCATATACATACACACAATTTTTAAAACTATGAAGAAAACATTATAGCTAGAGAGATGATTCAGTGGTTAAGAGCACATGCTACTACTACAGAGGATATGAGTTCAGTTCCCCGCACCCTCATCAGATGGTTCACAACCACCTCTAACTCCAGCTCCAGAGGTTCAATGTCCTCTTTGTATGTGAGAGCACTACACTCATATATGAATCCACATTTGGACACACACACACACACACACACACACACACACACTAATACTTAGAAATAATGTCCCTCTCTTTCTCCTAACTTCTTCGTTCCCCTCACCCTGGCCTGCTCCCAATTTGCTCAGGGTATCTTGTTCCTTTCCTCTTCTGTGAGGGACCATGTATGTCTCTCTTTAGGGTCCTCCTTGTTTCCTAGCTTCTCAGGCAGTGTGGACTGTAGGCTGGTGATCCTTTGCTCTATGTCTGATATCCATATATGAGTGAGTACATACCATGCTCTTTTGATTACCTCACTCAGGATGGTTTCTTCTAGTTTCATCCATTTGCCTGTGAATTTCAAGATTCCATTGTTTTTTTTCCCACTGAGTAGTACTCTATTGTGTAAATGTACCAATTTTCTACAGTTGAGGGACATCTAGATTGCTTGCAGGCTCTGGCTATAATAAATAATGCTGCTACGAACATAGTTGAACAGATGTGTTTTTTGCCTGTATGTGCATCTTTTAGATATATGCCTAATGGTGGAATTGCTGGATCTTATAGTAGACTGATTCCCACTTTCCTGATGAACCACCATATTGATTTTCAAAGTGGGTGTACGAGTTTGCATTCTCACCAGCAGTGGAGGAGTATTCCCCTTTCTCCAAATGCTCTCCAGCATAAACTGTCATTGGTGTTTTTGGCTTTAGCCATTCTGACAGGACTAAGATGGTATCTCAGAGCTGTTTTGATTTGCATTTCCCTAATGGCTAAGGATGTTGAACAATTCCGTGTCTTTCAGCCACTTTAGATTCCTCTATTGAGAATTCTCTATTTAGTTTTGTACCCAACTTTTAAATTGGATTATTTGGTGTTTTGGTAACTAGCTTCCTGAGTTCTTTGTATATTTTGGAGATCATCCCTCGGTCAGATGTGGGGTTGGTGGGGTTTGTGGGCTGTTGCTTTGTCTTGTTGACTGTGTCCTTTGGCTTACAGAATCGTTTAAATTTCAGGAGGTTCCATTTATTAATTGTCAATCTCAGTGTCTGTGCTACTATTATGTTCAGGAAGCGGTCTCCTGTACCAATTCATTCAAAGGTACCTCCCACTTTGTCTTCTAAGAGATTCAGTGTGGTTGAATTTAGACAATCACTCTTCTTTAGGGAGAAGTGCCCCCATAGGTTATGTAATCCCTAATTGTCATCCCTGAACACATACATACACATGCAATAATAAAATGGCCCAGCAATCTGTATTTATATATATATATTTATGTATATTTGTATTTTGTTTTTAGTTATGTATATATGCATATTATATATATTTATATATATTTATGTGACAATAACAGTTTAGAGATCACAAAGTTAAAAGGGAGGGACACATAAGAGGAATTCAAGTTGAAGACTGAGAAGTGAAAATAATGTTGAATACAGTACTCACGTATGAACCACCGTCATGTCATGATCATGGACTAACCATCTGAAACTGTAAGCAAGCTCCCAATGAAATGGTTCTTTTAGAAGAATTGACCTGGTCATGGTGTCTCTTCATACAATAGACCAGTATCTAAGATACAACCCAAAGGGTATTATTCCCCGTGTAAATAGATAAGTAAACTGCATACAGCTGTGTAGGGGAATACTTGATGATTTTATTTAAATCAACCCCCAAAGGGTGAATTTATAAGGCCAAATTGTGGATGAGTCAAGTGATGTATAGTTGTTCTGGATCTTGACTATAGTAGTGGCTACATAAGCTATGCTGGCACTGAAACTATTAAAGATGAACATTGGGTGAATTTCAGTGTATGTGTGTATATGTGTATAATAACGTCACTACCAAAAAACTATAAACTCACCTTTGTTATCAAAGCGATTTTTTGTTGTGGTTCTTTTTGGTGTTGTTGGCTGTTAACTTGGTGAGTAAAATAAAACAGTAAGTAATGCAATAAATAAATAAATAAAATAAAAAAAGCAGGAGCAGCAGCTACTTGCCATATATAACTCCTTGTTGATGCCAAGGTACTTTCCATTTCCACATCCAATATCTGCCACTATAGAACCACTTGGCAAAGCTTTCAGGAACTCCACGATACGCGGCCATGGGCTGTGCCTTGTGCTGCTGAAGTGCCTTGCAATCAAATCATATACGCGATGGACATGATCTTGCTCCAGCTGCCATGCTTCTTTACTGCTCTCTGGAAGGCAGGGAGGTGTGGCCTTCCTCTTTGTGTCACAGACCGAGGAGTACCCTAAATGAGAAGGGAAAGCTCTGCATCCAGTTGTGGTGGTACATGCCACCTCACCACCTGAGAGTCTAAGCAGCAGGAACACCATGAACTGAGGGCACTCTGTACTGCACAGTGAGTCCCATGTTGCCTAGGCTTACAGAGTGAGACCCATCTCAATCAATCAATAATAAATAAATAATAACCAAAAATAAATTAACTAAATAATAAGTAATGTTAACTTTTTATTTTTTTATGCAAAAGACTAGGGTATCAAATAACATCCATATATAGAGCAGAGCCTAGGGGTATTTAATGGTTGCTAGGGGAAGAGGTGTTATTTTCTTCAGTTAGGTAGCCACTGATAAGTTGTCCATGCTCCAGGAAATAACTCTACACCACTCTCAAGCAAGCAATTCTAAGTAAACGTAATGAGTCAGAAAACAAAACAAACAAGTAAGGACTAGTGGGTTTGTTGGTAGGAAGAGAGTCAGTGAGAGAAGGATAACAGTCAATGAAAAATGACCAAATTATTAAACATGCAAAAAATGGTCAAAGAAGAGGAGGAGGAAAGAAAAGGGGAAAAATTTTGCAAACTGAATATACAGACCAAGTGAAATGAGTTTAGTGTTTCATTTACAATTAATAACTGCCCACAACAAAGAAACATTTGCATAAGAAACCTAGCTTCTCTCTCCAATCAAATATTAAGTATCTCGAGAATAGGAGCTTTCCTTTAGTTTCCATAGCTTATAAGGCTGCCAGTAGTGTGAAACTCATCAAATACCAAACATGTTTAAAGTATCATGTTTTATGAACTCATTGACAGTGTTAGCAAAATAAGCAAAAACTCATTTTCAAGTGTCTTTAAAATAGGATTGTCATATTCAGAAGTAAGAGGCTTTGCTCTTTCATGTTTATTTGTATTTTATCTCTCTGTGTATATGCCATGTGGTCGGCGGGTGCCTGTGGAGGCCAGAAGGTACCAGATGCTTTAGAGTTGGAATAACAACCTAACAACATGGACACTGGGAAGAAGTAAACTGAGGTACTCTCAAAGAGCCATCTCTTCACCCTTGAGATAACAGATTTTTCATTTATTTACTTTTTAAGATTGCTGCTAAATAAAATGTCTCTTGTTACAGGCTACCCCAAATCGAAACACTTTGATATGAAAAGCATTCTCTGATTCCTGTCATTACAAATTATAGAGTAATTGCTACTTTTAGAAAGTAAAAGAATTTTCTGTTGAGTCCAAGAAAAAAGTCTAGGGAACAACACACAATAAGCCAGAACATCATCTTGTGTGTGCAGTTCTTTTTAGATTCTACCATGTTTTCAAACCAATGAAACTATAAATCTCCACTTATTCTCCTAGACTCACACACACAAATAATCTGTCATCTCCAACTTGTCTGTTGGGAATAAAAAAAGAAAAATTAAAATCCTGACAAGTCTTTCCAACAAAAACCACTTCTGCACAAGTAATGTTTTGTTACCTTACAATCCCAACACTATTAGCTGTTACTTCAAAAAATAAAACATTTTCTTGGCACTCAATAATGCTTAAAGGATCAAATGTCAAGTAAATTATTGCCTTCAAAGAATATAAACTCCAATGAAGGTAGCTCAGAGAAATGCTATGAAAGCCTAACACAGGCATAGGTACAGCAGAAGTCATCTAGGAAGTTAGGAAAAGCTGTCCTAACTACTGATGGCCTTAAAGCATTTCCATACCACATTTACTCAGTCACAGCACAGATGAAATTAGGAACTTACTACAACTGCAGGGCACATGCCTCACTTTCCTAAACGTGAATGATGTTCGAATTCCCCGCTTGCTTAGAGTCAAGTCTCCGGCGTCACTCTTGATTATTCCACCTTTGAACTGCTCAGATGCTTGGACAGTATCAAATTTTCTGGGTGTAATTCTAAAGGCAATAAGTATAACTTACTTGGCATTGCAGTGAGAACAATAGTTAGGGAACACAACAAATGTAATTAACATACCTTTGAAAAGCCATGACTCTCTAATGTACTTGGGAAAGAATGCACATACAGTTGGTTGAGATTTTGTTTTATTTTTTCCAGAATATCAAAAGGTTTTTATTAAGATGATTTCCTATGCCAGTATTCTTATTTTAATTTATTCTTTCTTTCACCAAAGATTTTAACAAGCATTTCAATAGTTAGTATACTGGTCGTTTTTTCTATCACTCTCTTCCCCCATCTCTGACTACCTCTACCTTTTTATCCTTCTCTTTCCACAGCACACAAATGCACACATACACAAATACACACACAGTGTCAGTCAGTAACTTTGGAGGTAATGAATGTCAATGGGAACCTTCAAAAATAATGTTGAGATTTTTCTTTCTCCTAAAAACATAACAAAGAATAGACCGTCTTACACCAGCTTTAAACATTTGTATGACTTACAATCCAAACTTTCATAAATAACTACTGCTAATATTAGGACATAATATAGTTTTAGTAAAAAAAAAAAGTATGACATCTGAGAAGTGTTATGGAATAATCTTTTTGTACATTGTGAAGATGTGTTACTCTGGTTTAATAAAAGGCTGAACGGTCAATAGCTATGCAGGATTTCTGGGCAGAGGCTGCTGGGAAGAAGAAGGAGAGATGACAGGAGACGTGGAGGAAGCAACATAGGCATTACAGAGTAAAGGTAACCAAGCCACATTAAAAAAATAAATAAATTAAAAGACACATATTAAGTTAAAAGAGCTAGTTAGAAACAAGTCTGAGCTATAGATTAAAAGATATGGGTTAATTTAAGTTATAAGAACTAATTAGAAACAAGCCTGAGCTATAGGTCAAACTTTTATAATTAATAATAGTTTCCATGGCATTATTTTGGAGCTGACAGTCTCAACAACAAAGTGTGACTACAAAGAAGCCTAATCATTTCCAAGAATAAATGTTTCATAATATATATGCAAAGTAACTCCTTATTTTGCACTTACTATGAAGCCATTATTTTTTTTAACCAGTTATGAGGTGTTTATTCTTTATATACATGTGAAAGAAGCACTGCATACTTATATTCCTGTTCTCCACAACAAGATCATGAGGAGATAGTATAAAATAGTTATAACTTAAAATACAACTGGATTAGAAATGAAAGAAAGACAGCTAGATCTCTACACAGCTGTGCTGTAAGAACATAGGTGGTTTAGGTTCATGTTTTGGTTATGCACGCAATTCAGCTCATCACACAGGAAACAAAAGCAGGTGCTGAACTGTGAAAGCGTGGATCAGTTATTTTTAGCATGTCTCTTAATTTTTCTGTCCCCTGACTTCTTGTCTTCCGTGCCCATGTCTTGAACAGGTAACCACTTCAGGGGATGTCGGCGGTAGATGGGCCACGGAGGAAGTGTCAGCAAACACGAGAAAGCAAATCCGGCCAGAACTAAGTAGCCAGTCCCTCAAACTTTTCAGCCACGAACCCTTAGATAAACCCAACTATTGCAGAAACAAAAAAAAAAAAAAAAAAATGATTCTCTGAAACATCTGTTCAGCTACTTTTGCCCCTTGTAATCCATTTGAGTGGGCAGCGAGCTCAGATATTCCAGCACCGTGGGCGCAGAAGACCGACAACAAAGCGGGAGTAGCCAATTCTTAAGGAGAGTGGCTGGCCGGGCGCAATGCGGGACACCGCCCAGCGGACCTGCCTGCCGAGCCCCCGGAAGCGGATGTCTCCAGCGAGCACCGGCAGCCCCTGGCCCCGCCCCGCGCCATCGCCGAAGGAGGTACGTCCCTCCGCTCCCTAGAGGCCGGCGCGCGGCTCTCCAGGGCTGGGGCCGCGGCCCTGCCGGAGCATCGCGCGGCCGGTCGGCCGCTGCTCCTGACTGCCCGGAGCCGCCACTGAGATGGAAACCGCGTGCGGGATGCGCATCCCCGTCTTACCGGCCGCTGGCACGCGCGCGTCTCCATAGCGACGGCCTTCCCTCAGCGAGGACCCCAGCTGCCCCTTGGCGCCTGCCGCGCCTGGCTCTCTGCGAGCGGGAGCCAAGGCCAGGCTAGGGTTAGGGGCAAGGCGCGGCTGCAGAGCTCGCGGGTCGCTGCACAGCAGGAGTGCGGGGGGGCGGGGGGGCGCTGGCGGCCTGGCTCTGGGCCCGGGCCTGGGGCCTGCAGGGCTAGTGTTCTCCATTATTCTTAAAAGTTTAAGAATGAGTGACAACACAAAGAACTTAAACTCCAAAAGAAAATACGCTTATTCTCAGAATTCTAAGAATACTTGAGAAAATGGATTAGATTGCATTTAAGTGCACATATTTTAATGGCGATGAAAAATAATCAAAATCAGGCCTTTTTTTTATGATTCAAACTTAGTACAGGTTGTTCTTTGTTCCCCTAAACCCAGTTCTCAGGGTATTCCCTAGTGCTGCAACAGAAAACCAGCTGCAGCCTGTCTCCTCCATCTATGTATCTGCTGAATCCCACAGACCATACCTCCCTGGCCTCCCCTCCCCACCTCTGCACTGTGTCCCAGCCCCCAACTTGGACAGACAACCCCTACTCAGGCAGATAGCCCCTGCTCAGCCACAAGGCCATGGCTGCCAGAAGACTAGGCCCCAACACAAGTGGACATCCCTTGCTCAATCATAGGCCATACTACCAGACGACCAGGAAGACCGCTGACATTCTCCAATCTCCCTGCTCTTCCAGACCCATCCTCATGGTCATTCACAGCTCCTCAACAGAAAAGCTGCAGCCTCACCTTGCCCCTATCCATGCCTCCTGGGTTCCCCCTCTCCACCATGATTCTGTGTCCCACACCCACCTGGGCACCACACCTAGCTCAACCACAGGCTGCGCCTGCAAAATGATCAGGTAGACTGCATCAGGGCCTTCTCCATTCTCTCTCGGGCCTAATACTCAGGGTCATCCCTAGCACTGCAACACACCATCGCCCCTTGGCTTCCTCTTCCCCCAGCCTCCATTGCTAACAAGCATTCCCATTAAACACACCAGTGAAGCACGTCAGAAAAACAGGCAAAATAGCCAACATACTCTGAAAATCCAGAGAGGAAACAACCAAGGAACAAAACAACAACCCAACAAAGACAAACCTAGACCTAGAATCACCCCAATCGCAGATGCCTAAATGCCAGCACAAAAACAGAATTAGTAACAGTCAGGGCAATATGTCTCCAATAGAGCCTACCTACCGCAGGCCCTGAATATTTCAACACAGCTAAAGCAGAAGACAAATTCTAGATCTGGGGCTGCGAGGAGGGGAAGAAGTGGAGACTGTGGTCAGGATGTACTGTATGAGGGAAGAATCTATTTTAAATTAAAAAAAAAAAATCAATAAAACTTAGGATGGGTTACTAATAAAATAACATGATCATTTTCTTTAATATTTGAACTGGCTCAGCTAAAATTTAAAGCAGAACAGACAGAATGCATAAAAATTAATATTTTAATTATTAGTATATACACATACATATATACATACTTTCACACACACAAATTCTAGCAGTATAATGTTCTGTCCTCAAAAAACCTAAAGATGTATTTCCACCAAAAGAAGTAAAACTCATGATGCTAGAAGTTACTTTCAAATGGTTATGCAAAGCCAATGACAGTAATATGTGAAAAAAACTAAGAGATGTAGCAAACCATTCACAAGTGAAAACTACAGGTGAAAGTGGAGGGAGTTTGCTCATTACACTTACAATTTTTCTTTAAATTTTAAATCTTTTCAGAACAAAAAGGTAATGTATTAAACACAAAACAAACAAAAAACCCTGCATATATCCTGGGAGGCTTGTACCCAAAGGATTTGATTTGATGTGCAGACATTGGACATGGCTTTGGCAGTGCTGACAGAAAAGAATGAGAAATCTCACAGGAAGTTTCCCATCAGTCACCAAGGTCATCACAATACATACCCATGAGTCCAAAGATATCTAGATTCTCCTGTCATCACCAGCAAACTCCGACGAGGTAACATAACTTGTATTGTGACACCATCTGGGTGCTTAAAATCCATAACAATCTTAGAGCAAAGACAAAAGTTGCACAGTTATCACCAAGAAGGGTTAATACCAAGTCTAGTGTCATACATTCCTGGTGTTAGGGATGGTTTACTCATGCTGACCATATTTCTAGGTTAATAGCTAAGTAAGCTAAAACTTTCTTTAACAATAAGAACAGGTGACCTCCTGGGGCAGGAAAGTTTTGTACTGAGAATCAGTCTGGGAAATACTAAGTGAAGTTCAGGAATATACACTTCTAAGAATCATCCCCGGAAACTATAAGGCAGGTAGTATGAGAGCTCAGCATGGAAAGCACTAAGGAAGTGTCCCACAGGATTCTGAGCCATATTTACCACTCAGTTAGACTCTCTCTGCCTTGGTTTTCTTAACCTCCACAGGATTGCTGAATGAATTATGTAATTAATACATGGTGATTGGCATGCAGCAAATACAGAAAAGTGTATTGTTACTATCTATAGGATGTTAATAAGCAATAATCTAAAGGGAAAGTAATTAACTAGATTCTGAGTCTCATTTAGCCCTTCTGGTACTCTGACAGCCATACAACACACTAGGATTAGTTAGATACTATCGGATGGCCAAGAAAACTGAACAACTTCTCTCCTGACTTACATTCAAATATTCCCAATGGTCCTGCAAAAAAAAAAAAAAAAAAAAAAAAAAAAAAAAAAAAAACAATACCCAAGAAGATGTTCTGTCTTAGGACAGAACTACAGACAACAGCAGCTGATGAATGGGAGTTTAAAGGGCACAGCACAGAACAGAAAATAATATTCTGAGTGAACAAACCAACCTGATTTAAAAATAAATGTGAGCAGAGCAGTGATAGCAGATGCCTTAAATCCAAGCTCTCTGGAGGCAGAGGTAGAGAGATCTCCATTTGAAGCCAACCTAGTCTACAGAGTAAGTTCCAGGATAGTCAAGGCTAGTTTGGGTTTTTATTGCTCTGAAGAAACACAATGACCATGGTAGCTCATATAAAGAACATTTAATTGGGGTAGCTCACAGTTTCAGAGGTTCAGTTCATTACCATCATAATTGCGGAGCAGGCAGACATGGTGCTGTCTTGCAGGCAACAAGAATTCAACTGTCACAAGGAGGGAAGCTTGAGCAAATGAGACCCCCAAGGGTTTGCCAACAGTGACACACTTCCTCCAACAAGGCCACACCTCTTAATGGTACCATTCCCTTTGGGGGTCATTTTCTTTCAAACCACTATACCCTGTTTCCAAAAACCAAACCAAAACTGTTTTGAGCTAGAGAGATGCCTCAGAGGTTAAGAACACTGGCTGCTCTTCCAGTGGTCCTGAGTTCAAATCCCAACAACCTCATGGTAGCTCACAACCATCATGAGTGGGAACTTTCCTGGCATAAAGACATACATGCATGTGGGGGAACCCCAGAGCAAAGTTAGCATCTTAACAGCCATCTCTCGTACTACTCTCTTAGATACTAACATACTGGCAATTTTCCATTCCCCTATAACTGTTTCCTATTAAGCTTATGATGCAGGTTGACCCTGGAAGAGTCTCAGCTATAGACTTATCATATAGCAACTTATAGCAGAACACCCGGAATTCTGCTTAGAAAGACACTCTGCCTCCCTCACATCCTCCCTTTTCCACATTCCCTCATTTCTCCACTACTTAAACCCTGAGGTTATATTCAATAAATGAAACTTGATCACAATACTGTCTTGTCTCCATCTCTCCTGTCTCTTGTCCCCTCATTCTCACTCTCTCCCTCAGGGTCCCCAATGACTGACCCTCATGGGCGGAGCAGATACAGCAATCATATGTATAAAATAAATAAACAAATAAATAAAAATTAATGTTAAAGTATAAGTAAGATAAAGGGAATTTATTATGTATCTTGCTTGAAGATGAATACAGCACAGAGGCTAGACAAAGAAAAATATTAAATATCACTGTTATTATGAATAATAATAGTGGATCTAACTAGACAATATACCTAGCTATAAATAATAAAGAATTGACAAGTTAACATTTGTTCCCCCTTCGTGTCAATCTAAGTATAGTAAAGTATTTAATTTTCTACAAACTTTCTCTCCCAAATGTTCACATTCATTAAGTAATACTCTAAAATCACTCTATTTATAAAAAATATATAGCTCTGTTTTTTACAGATGAAGTATGCTTATTTGTGACTGTCTTGGAATGTATAAACATAAAAAGGACTAACAAACTGATGGAGAGATAAAGTGATATTTGACTAAAGCAAATATATTAAAATGTTGATGGCAGGACCCAGGAAGCTGGTTTAGGGGTGTTTACAATTCTTTCAACTTTTCTGTATCAAAATGTTTATAAGAAATCATTGAGAAAGGGGTAAAATTTATCATGGCTTATTTAAAACCAATGTATGTAGTTTCCGATTTTCTGAAGTTAAGCTATGGTCCACAAAGGACAAAGTAAAGAAGATAATTATTTCATTAGAGATGATCATCCATGAATTAAATGAAGATATGATTCCAATTTATTCATCAACAAATATTTATCATTCACTGTGTAAGGTATCAAAGATTGCAAAGTTGACAGTAGCAACCAAACAATCATATTTTTATCTTGACTCTTGAGGTTCATCTAGTCCAAATCATGCTCATTGTCAGCCACTTGTCACCCACTTCCATTCTGCCCTCAGAATAGAACCAGTCTCTGTTCCCTCTGGTTTTGCTTTCATGATCACTTTTAGAATCTGGAAAACATTGTTGACCTGCATTTTTAGGATTATAACGTTGTATAGTGCTGGGATTTGAACCCGGAGCCTCAGTCATGCTAACCTGGTCTCTGTAACTGTGTTCTGAAGCATGGTGCTAGATCAGAATATTTAATGTCCTGAGAACATTTTATCTTGTTTTCCTCAAGATTTCATATATTATTACCTTATGCTAATGCAGTGGTTTTCAACCATCCTAATGCTTTTGTCCTTTAACACAGATCCTTGTGTTGTGATGACCCCAACCATAAAGTTATTTTCATTGCTACTTCATAACTGTAGTTTTGCTACATGAATCACAATGTAAATATGTGATTTTTTTCCCATGGTTTTAGGTGACCACTCAGAAAGGGTTCTTTGATGCCCCAAAGGGATTGTAACCCACAATTTGAGAACCACTGTGATAATGCTTGCCTCTCTCCACTTTATATAAGCAACCAAATAGTTGTTTCTATTAAAAAATTTTAAAATGTATCTATGTATATAAGTGTGAGTGCAGGCCTTCATGTACCACAGTATATATAATAGAGGAGTCAGAAGACAATTCTTGAAAAGTGGTAATTAGTTATTTCCCTGCAAGTAATTTTTTATTCATGTCTAATTTGTAGTTAAATTCATTCATTGATGTTATCATTTGTTATGGTGTTTTGCAGTTTTAGAATTATCTCTTTGGTATTTCTTTTCCTTTCTGAGGTTGATTTTGCTCCCATTTAGGCTATCTTTATCCAGAGCTGAGAGTGTTTCTTTTTCTGACTCAACATATTTGAGATGAAGGCCAACATTCTGTATGTATAGAAAGTTCACAGTTATTTTGTTAATTGTGTTATAGTTGGCCATTGAGTTAGAAAATGCTGGAATATTAAATTAATGCTATATATAATTTCAAAACATTTTTTTGTTTTTGTGAGTTTTATTTTATTTATTTATTTTTTTAATGTTTATGGGTGTTTTGCTGCATGTTTTTTTGTGCTTCACATATATGCAGTACCTCAGGAGGATAAAAAAGACATTATCAGATCCCATGGAAATAATTACAACCAAGTCATGTGCTTGGTGGGTGCTGGAAACTAAACCTAGGTCTTCTAGAACTGGGTAGTCAGTGCTCTTAACCACTGACTCATCTCTCTAGCCCCTATACTTATATTCTTTTAGACAAAGAATATGAATAAAATAGGCAGGCCCTAGATGACAGTTTTGATCATTTTATTAATTTTCCAACATAGTGGAAGATTTATTAATCTCCCAACATACCTTTACTAGAAAGGCAAAGACTATGTAATTGTCTTCAGATCTTTACACATTTTTACTAAGAGTAGGCTAAGAACTTGATAAACCAAAGACTTGATTCTAGTTCATCCCTATTTGTCAATTAATGACCCAAGACTAGGCTTTGACAAAATGTTTTAAGGTAGATGCCAGATAGATGTAATGGCAAAAGACAGATCAATAATGCCCATTAGTAACCAGCAATCACTCTCTACATTCTAAGATATACTTTTTATGTTTTTCCCCCCTTGAAATATGGGTTGCTTATGTCATGGTAAATGTCTTGAAGTTGATTAGTCTCATATATATGTTTCTAATTAGTTAGACTGCAGTTTCTGAGTTTTAAAAACATTGCCTTCCTTTGATACCAGAGGTGGGGTGGGGGTAGGGTGGGGGTAGGGTTTGTGTTTAATTTCACAAGTTAAATGCTTGATGCATTTAGATTCAAATACTTAAGTTGTATCTTAGACTAGAGATGAAGTCATTATCCAGATTTTATTTGTTGTTTTCAGTTGTATACAGAATATATTTGAGTGTTTCTAATTTATGCTAAAGGTCAGAAAACAATGAAACAGAAAATATTGATGGTTATGGCTCTCTAGTGGACATTCAGTAAACGGGATCTTTATTATTATGTATCTGTTATTCCAGCCCACTGGACTACAATGGTCATATGGGAAATATTTACTGATGGATCTGGGGATGGAGCTCAATGGTACAGCACTATGTGCATGTCCATGTGCATGTGAGAAGTCATGAGCTCAGTCCCTAGCACTGAAAAAAAAAAAAGTAAATATTTATTGATGAACCAATTTTGTAAAATTAGTAACTACCCAAAATTTTCTGTGTTCAACATCAGCTACTATCTCAGCCCACTTTGCCAGTCTTTTAATAAATATTGTTGCCAAAAATATTACTAGCTAATACAATGCAAATGGGAGCAAATTAAATCACAAATTTTAACGAAGAACATTACAGGACTTTCTGAAGTTGACAATGACAATGTCTGAGAATTATTTAAATCACCGGCAATGCCACTTCATATTTGATAATCTAGCAATCAGGGCATAGATAGAGCGTCTAAGTATGGTATGAGTGTCAGAGATCTAAGACACACTTCTAGAAAGCCAGCTATACTGGCTCACACCTATAATCCAACTACTCAGGATGCTGAGGCAGGTCAATTACCACAAATGCAAAGCCAGCCTGAGCTTGTGAGTTCTATGACAGTGTTGCAGCTTGCCCCAATAAACAAACAACAAACAAAAAAATGACAAACATTTCAATAATGTATGGGCACGGAGCTCTTTTTACAATCAAACTGTAAAAGACATGGAAAGGATTTTTTCTATACTGTCATATTTTATCAGAAAAACAATGTCAAGACAAAGTCTATATAACTCATTGTTTTAAAAATTAGTAATTAAATGCTTGTTGTCATCCTTAGATGACAGAGTCCCTGGGGCACTGTTTAAAACACATTTGACCACAAACGTCAGGCTGCAGTTACTTAAAACACTAAAATGAAACCTTAAGCCACTATGCAGCATGTCTAACATTCTGACAGGTCCTGATGCATCCTACACCTATACTAAGAATCTATTGACATAAATGATGAGATGGCTTACTATATCAAATAAATAGTATTGATCCTTTAGCTACAGCATGAAGATGATCACAAGGATACAGCAAAGGTTAAGAAGCCAAAGTGCTCAAGCTCTATAGCTTGATGGGAACTATGCAGATATAGGGGAAAAGACACAAGGGGGAAAGAAAGGAGGAGGAGAAGAGGGGAAGAGGCAAAGAGTACTTGTCTCCAGGAGAGACATCAGATTTTGAAGCAACCACTACTTAGATCAGAGAATCTCAATATTTCAAGAATTATTTTACATTCACTTATATTTTATTTCTGTCTGAGAGTCCATGGGTAAACTGTATATAGTGTAAGATCTGAGAGGAAAGGTATACTGGCAGTTGGAAGCCAAAGATACCACATCACCCAACAAACCTCACACAAGAAATTTATTGGGAAAAACACAAGAAGTTGGTTGCCTCTGCTTGAGAGAAAAGCAGCCAAAGACTGAACAGGAGGCAGGCTTTCTATAGGGTATTTGTGGGAAGAGAACCTTTCCAGGGTGGCTAGATTTGGGGGCAAACTTAGTGGGATTTTGTGGTTAGATCTTAGGCTTTTTTTTTTTTTTTCTTTCTTTCTGTAGGGTAGAGCTTGGGTACTTGCATCTCCAGGTGGCAATGGCCATTAAAACTATTAGAGTGGCATGGGGGACAGAGCCTGGGCCATGTGCCTCAAGGGGCTAAGGTCTGTCTATAGGAGGTCTGGGGTTGAGGTTTACATTCACCATATTAAAACATGGTTCTGTGTTTAGCATCTCAAGCAAAGTTCAAACACATAAATGAAGACCTGAATAAACATGGACCTTTCCTTTACCTGGAGGGTCACAAATGATCCTCTGCTGAAGTTTCTGAAAGTCTGACTCAAGTAAGCTAAATAAAAAAAGTCTGCCCTGTGCTTGGCTATGGTGGCACATGTTTTTAATCCTAGCACTCGGGAGGCAGAAAAAGGTGGATCTTTGTGAGTCCCAGACCAGTCTGATCTACATAAAGAGCTCAAAACTAAAAAGACTACATCTAAAAGACAGCAGCCAAATTCATTAATCAATTAATTCATAAGGAGAATTCCCAGGCTTGTGTGTTTTAGTTGTCAATATCCTACATCATGCAGTGATAGGTGGCTGTGCAACAAAGGTAGGTCCAAAATTGGTCAAACGATACTAGTGAAGATCTGTACTTTAAATAACTGCTAATGGAAATGTATAAATAAATGTATAGACTTTTCCTGGCATCTGATGAACTGCAAGGTAAAACTTCAGACATATAAAAGGAAGGTGTGAAAGCTAACACACTAACAAAGCCCATTTCATTTAAAAAGTCTTAATTCATTCTAATTAGAATGTGGATAGTCCCATGGGCGAAACAGGCATTGTGCAAAGTAAAACATGCTAAAATCTGATTAAAAAGAAAAAAAAAAAAAAAAAAAAAAAAAAAAAAAAAGGAAAAGAAATGCTTTGGCACTAACCTCTGATCCCAAACTGAGAGAAATGATCTCATCCTCAAATGCCGAATGTGTGTCAATATGAGCAGGGATTCCTTAGATAGAAAACATGGCAATATCACTTCATCCTCCATTCTAGATTTAGACTATGAACACATTCAATGTTACATAATTACAGTGAAAGGATCACCTGGTTCTTAAGAAGGTTAAAGGGAAACAGAATGAATATGCCTCAACAAAATTAAATTAAAACTAAAACAGGATAGCTCAATTTCAAAACAAAATGACATTTAGTGTTGACTAAACAAGCTCTCAGGAGTCACTGCTTAAAAAGGACACTTTCCATTCACAGCCCAAGAAGTCAATGTGGAAGACAAATGCAAGTCCTTTTTTTCTCATAAACAATGGGCTTCTCAAGGACTTGGGGAGCAGAGGCCATTGATACACTAAAGATTTACTGTATTAATAATTAAGACACAGCTTCTTCCATTCAGCAGTCTGGTAAATGAGTAGACATTGGTAAAGAAACTGTAACACAGAGAAAGATACAAAGAAGAAAGATACATCCTAGTCAAGGATGCATAGACCAGTAAAAAGGAAGACAGGAAAATACCAAGTGCAAATACTCACAGTGTGGACACAGCAGCATGTATCTGCAGTCTTAGCCCTGGGGGAGCTGGGAAGCTCAACTCTGTGCCAATCTTGGGGGGCTGGGAATGTAGCACAGTGACAGTGTTCCTGTCTAGCTGGGACTAGACTGTGGTGATATTTTGTTTGTGCTCTAATAAATGTAGCTTCTTTGGAGATTAGGATGCTGAGTCAACCACTAGTTAACCACAGAGGCCAGGCAGTGGTAGCACACACCTTTAATCCCAGCACTTGGGAGGAGGAAAAAAGGAAGTGATATGGCTGGGTGGAAAGTGGAAATGATAAGGCAGGAAGGAGATGGGCAGGGGCTTGGCCCTTTTTAGCCGAGACGTTAGCTAGGAAAGAGGCGACTGTGGCATGCTCCATTGTCTCTCATCTTCTTTTAGAATTTACCCCACCATCTGACTCTGGGGTTTTATTACAATGTGTGCTACACTAGGCCCTAAGTTCAGACCATGACAAAAAGCAGTAAGAAAAATCCCTTGGGGGAAGGGGGGAAAATCACTTAACTACAAATATCTAGTAAAAATACTAATAAACCTAAGATTTTCACTGACTCATACTTTTAGGATTATCTAACACATTCCAAAACAGGAGGAGGAAAATCATTCTTCCATTCTATGGCTAACTTGCTTCTTCTATTACACATTTCTTGTTTTCCAAGCTACCAACTCCCTCTTTAACATGTTAAGAGAAGAACAAAAACAAGCAAAACCCACAAACAGCAAGGCATATCCATTTAAATGTTTTCTAATGGAAGCTCATCAAGGGATAGAGGAACAGACTGCAAGTAATAAGAAATAATACAGATACTGAATATAAATAAGCAAAACGGCTTAAAAATTAAATTTAGTTAAAGTGAACATAAAAACAAAAACCACTGAATTTTAACTTTTGATCTTAAAAAGTTCCACAACCTTCTTAATTCTGAAATACATAACTGGGACTTTAAAAAAGAAACAACTGGGGCTGGAGATATGCTCAGTGGTTAAGAGCACTAGATGCTCTTCCCAGAGGATCCAGATTCAGCTCCCAGAACCCACACAGCTGCTCTCAGCCATCCATAACTCCAGTTCCAAAGGACCTGATACTCTCTCTTCTGACTTCCTAGGGCACTAGAGACACATGTGATTCACAAACATGGATGTAGGCAAAACGCTAACACACATTAAAAGAGAGAGAGAGAGAGAAAGAGAGAGAGAGAGAGAGAGAACTTGAAAGAAATGCTTTTAAAAACAAGAAACACCTACCATGTCCAGGCTCATACTGATTTACGGTCAACTGATCAGGTTTATGTTTAATGTAACCTTCTTTCAACCATTTCTCCAAAATGCTGTTGCAAATGTCAGGAAGACCTAAAGTCAGAAACCAGGAAAGCAAAACACACTCAAATATTTTCATGTTTAGCTGAAATTATAAAAGTAATACTATGATAGTAATCAGAAATTTTATTATTGCAGTCAAAGATGATAAATCTACAGGAAAAAAAAAAACAGACTTGTAAGAATGTTTTAAGGTTATTACACCATTGACCCTATCAAATAAAAGCACAAAATCATAATTACACTAATAACCCTTAGACATTTTATAAAATGATAACAAATGTAATATAGACTGAGCTGCCCTTATCCAAATTCACTGATATTTTTTATATATAACTTATACCACAGGATGAGGGAAAATTTTTAACTTATTTTAGATGTGCTTGTGTTTTGACTATGACTCACCACAGAGGCTTAGATATGGGTACTTTCTACTGGTAGCATCATTTGCTTTCAAACACATTCAGATTTTGGAGAAATTAGAATTTCGTATTCAAATTAGGGAGGCACAAACTGAAGACTTATGTTAAATATGAAATGGAATACTTCGCTAACTTTTAAAAGTACTCCACTTACTACAAAGATTTTAAATTAAAATTTAAATATTAAAAGCATACATTCAAAGTGAAACTTTCATTGTGTGATTTCACCAGGAATGAAAGCCTTAAACATAACGAAGGTCATAAAAAAATAAATTTAGGACTGGAGTTATGTCTCAGTCAGCAAAGTAACCTTTAAAAAGCACAGAAACAAAACTGGGCATGGTAACACACACTTGTAAAATCTGTGGAGGCAGGGATAGGCAGATCACTGAGGTTCCCTGGTCAACCATACTGGTCTGTTTGGACAGTTTAAAGCCAGTGATACCCTGTCTCAAAATAAGATGGACAGCTCCTGAGGAATAATACTCAAGGTTGTCTTGTTCTCTGCTTATCACAGATATGTTTACAAACACACACACACACAGCTCCACATACACACCGCCACACGTATGTACATGGGTGCAAATAAATATAATTCCACAGAGAATTATTGTCAGTATAATTTAGATAATCAGTTTATGTAATCTATTTAAAAAAAAGTATGATATGAAAAGAAAATTAGAAAAAGAAATACAGGTGTGATGGGAGAAGTCATTCTGTAAATATGTTTCTCTTATTGGTTAATGAATAAAGAAAGCACTGTTGGCAAATAGAAAAGCAAGATAGGTGGGACTAGGAGACAAGGAGGATTCTGGGAGATATAGTAGAGGAGAGTCAAGATATAGGGACTTGAAGGAAGAGATCCAGACCTTCTCTCTGGTAAGATAAGAATATGTTAGAATATTTAGATTGATAGAAATGAGTTATTATTTAAGACAGAGCTAGCCAATAAAAAACACTAACAACAGGCCAACAGCTTTATATCTAAAACAGCGTCTCTGTGTAATTTGGGGCTGACATGGCTGCTGGACCAGGCTGATTAGAAAACTGCTTGTAGCACAAGTGGCCAACCTCATTACTGACCAGGAAATTGTAAACTGAAAAGTTGTATACCATCACCATCAGAATACAAGCAATAGAATCTCTAGAGTCTTAAGTGTTGAAGAAACTATAGAAGAAATAGATAAATGGTTCAAAGAAAATGTTAAATCTAAAAAATTTCTGAGGCAAAATATTATGGAAAGACCAAACCTAAGAATAATAGGAATAGAAGGAGAAGATTCCCAGCAGAAATACAGCCCAGAAAACATTTTAAACAAAATCAAAGAAGAAAAAATTCATAACCTAAAGGTTAGGAAGCTTATAAAGGTACAAGAAACTTACAGAACACCCACCAAATAGATTGAATCAGATAAGATTTAAACAATACATACGAACTAATCCAGGCCTACTGAACGTTCTAGAAGGAAAACTCCAAACTAAGGAGGTTAATTACACTCATTAAAAAAAAAAAAAAAAAAAAAAAAAAGGCAATATATAATCCCACTTTACCAACAGACAAAATAAAAGGGGGGGGGGAGTGGGAACCACACACAATACCAACAACAACAACAAATCCAAAATGATCAAGAATTAACAATCAATGATCATCAATGTCCCACAATAATAATGGTCTTAACACACCTATAAAAAGACATAAGCTAACAGAATGGATAAGAAGAAAGAACCCATCCTTCTGCTGCATACTATACAAGAAGCACACCTCAACTTCAAAGACAGATGTTGCTTCAAGTTAGCAGTTGGGAAAAGATTTACTAATTAAATGGACCCAAGAAACAAGTGGGTGTAGCAATCCTAATATCTAACAAATTAACACTTCAAACAAAAATCAATCAAAAGAGAAGAAGGTGATGTCATATTCATAACAGGAGAAATCCATCAGCACAAATTCTGAACATCTATGCACCAAAAATAAAGCCATCCACATTCATAAAAGAAACATTAGTAAAACTGAAATCACACATAAAAGGTCACACACTTATAGTGGGAGACATCAAAACCCCACTCTCAAATCAACACTAGACAGGACCATTAGACAGAAAATAACAAAGAAAAAAAGGAACTAACAGAAGTTATAACTCAACTGGGTTTAAAAGACTTCTATAGAACATTCCATTTAAAGACAAAAGAATATAATTTCTTCTCAATGCCACAAGGAACCTTCTATAAAATTGACCACATACTCTGCAATATAGCCAACCTCAAAGATTCTTAAAAAAAAAAAAAAAAAAAAAAAAAAAAAAAAAAAGGAATAACCGCCCCCCCCCCCGTCTGTATCAGACCACCATGCTTTAAAGTTAGACTTAAACAACAACACAATTGTAGAAACCCTACAAACTCATGGAAATTGAACAATGCACAATTGCACTATTTCCTGGGTCAAGAAAGAAATAAAGAAAGAAACTAAAGCCTTCCTAGAATACAATGAGAATGAAGACAAAACAACCCCAAACATCTGGGACACTTATAAAGCGGTGCTAAGAGGAAAGTTCATTGTACTAAGTGCACACAAATAAACATCAGAATGGTCACACTGAGGAATTAATAGCACAACTAAAAGTTCTACAACAAATAGAAGCAAAATCACCCCAGAGTGGTAGATGCCATGAAATAATAAAATTGAGGGCTGAAATCAATAAAGTAGAAACTAGGAAAAATACAAAGAATCAATATAACAAAGAGTTGGTTTTTTGAAAAAATCAACAATACAGATAAACCTTTATCCAAACTAACCAAGAGGCAGAGAGAGAACATGCAAATTAACAAGATCAGAAATGAAAAGAGGGACATAAAAAGGAACACTAAGGAAATCCAGAGAATCTTCAGACCATATTTTGAAAACCTGTACTCCACAAAATTTGAAAATTCAATAGAAATGGACAATTTTCAGGATAGATATCACTTACCAAAATTAAATGAAGAAAAGATAAGTAATCTAAATAGACCTATATCCTCTAATGAAGCAGAAGCAATCAAGAGTCTCCCAACCAAAAAATAGCCAGGGCCAGATGGTTTAGTGCAGAATTCTACCAGAAATTCATAGACGAGCTAAGACTAATACTTTTCAAATTGTTCTACACAATAGAGCCAGAAAAGTCACTGCCAAACTCTTTTTATGAGGCCATGATTAGCTTGGCACCCAAGCCACACAAACATACAACTAAGAAAGAGAACTACACACCACTATCCCTCATGAACATTGAAAAATACTCAATAAAATACACGAAAATCAAATCCAAGAACACATTAGAGAAATCATTCACCATGATCAGGTAGGCTTCATCCAAGGGATGCAGGGATGGTTCAACATAAGAAAACCCATCAGTGTAATCCACTATAGAAACAAAACGAAAAAGATAACCACATGATGATTTTACTAGATGCTGAAAAAGTATTTGACAAAATCGAACCGCCCTTTGTGATAAAGGTCAGAAATAACAGAAACATACCTAAACATAATAAAAGCAATATACAACAAGACAACAGAAAGAAAGAAAAAAAAAGGAGACAAACTCAACATGATTCTTCTAAAATCTCTTCAATATCTCTTCAATATCTCTTGAAGTTCTAGCTAGAGCAAAAAGAAAACAAAGAGAGATCAAAGAGAGATTAAGGGGATACAAATTGGAAAAGAAGAGGTCAAACTTTCACTATTTGCAGATGATATGATAGTTTATATAAGTGACAGAAAAAGCTTTACCAGGGAACTCCTACAGCTGATAAACACCTTCAACAAAATAGGAGTATACAAGATTAACTCAAAAAAATCAGTAGCCTCACTACATACATACAATAAAGGATCTGAGAAAGAAATCAGAGAAACAACACACTTTACAATAGCCACAAACAACATACAATATCTCAGGGTAACGCTAACCAAACAAATTAAAAACCTATAAAATAAGAACTTAGAGGTTTTAAAGAAAGAAATTAAAGAAGATACCAAAAATGGAAATATCACACATGGTCTTGGATATGTAGTACTAACAGAGTAAAAATGGCAATCCCCAGCAAAACCCCAACACAATTCTTCACAGACCTTAAAAGAAAGATGCTAATTTTATATGGAAAAACAAGAAACTCAAAATAGCCAAAATAACCCTGTACAATAAAGAAGCTTCCAGAAGCATTACCATCACTGAATTCAAGATCTATCATAGAGTTATAGTACTTAAAACAATTTTGTATTGGCACAAAAATAGACAGGCAGATCAGTGGAATCAAATTGAAAATCCTGGTATTAACTCATACACCTATGAACACCTGATTTTTGACAAAGAAGTTAAAATTATACAATGGCAAAAAGAAATCATATTCAACAAAAGGCATAACTGGATACTGACCCGTAGAAGACTCCAGATAGATCCATATCTATAACCATCCACAAAACTTAAAATCAAATGGATCAAAGACCTCAACATAAATCCAGCCACACTGACTCTCTTAGAAGAGAAAATGGGAGGTACCCTTGAACAAATTGGTAGAGGAGACCACCATCACACCAGTAGCATAGACACTGAGATCAACAATTAATAAATGGGACCTCCTGAAACTGAAAAGCTTCTGTAAGGCAAAGGACACAGTCAACAAGACAAAACGGCAGCCCACAGAATGGAACAGATATTAACCAACCCCACATCTGACCGAGGGATGATTTCCAAAATATACAAAAAACTCAATAAGCTAGTTACCAGAACACCAAATAACTCAATTAAAAAGTAGGGTACAGAACTAAATAGAGAATTCTCAATGGAGGAATCTAAAATGGCTGAAAGACACTTAAGAAAGTGCTCAAAATTCTTAAGCCATCAGGGAAATGCAAATCAAAACAATACCATCTTGCTTGTGTCAGAATGGCTAAAATCAAAAACACCAAAGATAGTTTATGCTGGAGAGGATGTGGAGAAAGGGCCACAATTCTCCACTGCTGGTGGGAGTGTAAACTCATACACACACTTTGGAAATTAGTATGGCAGTTCTTCAGGAAAATGGGAATCAGCCTACCACAAGAATCACCAATTCCAGCCTTTGGCATATACCCAAAATATGCACATTCATACAACAAGGACATCTGTTCAACTATGTTCATAGCACCATTATCTGTAATAGCCAGAACCTGCAAGCAACCTAATGCCCTTCAATTGAAGAATGGATAAAGAAAATGTGGTACATTTACACAATGGAGTACTACTCATCAGAAAAAAAAAAAGGAATCTTGAAATTTGCACCATCCTGAGTGAGGTAACCGAGTCACAAAAAGGCAAACATGGTATGTACTCATTCATATATGGATTTTAGACACAGAGCAAATGTTTATGAGCCTACAATCCACACAGCCAGAAAAGCTAGGAAACAAGGACAACCCTAAGAGAGAATTACATGGTCCCCTGGAGAAGGGGAAAGAGATATGATCTCCTGAACAAATTGAGGGCATGGAGGGGGAAGGAGGGAGGGAATTAGGAAAAAGAGAAGGGGAGAAGAGGAGGGGAGAGGTGGACATGAGGGATCAGGAAGATTGAGTCAGGGGAAGAATATGAGATCACAAAAAGAGACACCATAAAAGAGGGAGCCATTATAGGTTTAAAGAGAAATGTGGCATTAGGGAAATGCCCAGAGATCTACATGGATGACCCCAACTAACAATCTAAGCAACAGTGGAGAAGCTACCTTAAATGCCCTTCCCCTATAATGAGATTGATAACTATCTCATATGCCATCCTAGAGCCTTCATCTATTAGCTGATCAGCTAAACACTGAGCCGAACTCCTGGAATCCAGTTGCAGAGAGGGAGCAGTGATGAGTAAAGGGATCAAAACCAAGCTGGAGAAACTCACAGAATCAACTGACCTGAATAAGGAGGAAGCTCATGCACAGGAGTCTGATAGCTAGGAAACCAGCATAGAACCAACCCAGAATCCCTGAATGAGGGGGTCAGTTAGGAGGCCTGGGAAATCCATGGGGCCTCTGGTAGTAGATCAGTATTTATCCCTAGTATATGAATGGACTTTGGAAGTCCATTCCACATAGAGGGATACTCTCTCAGCCTAGACACATGGGGGAGGGCTTAGGCCCTGCTCCAAATGATGCGACAGACTTTGATGATCCCCCATGGCAGGCCTCACCCTCTCTGGGGAGGAGAAAGGGGAAGGAATAGGGGGTTGAGATGGGACAAGGGAGAAGGGGAGGAAAGGGAAACTGGGATTGACATGTAAAGCACGATTATTTCAAATTTAAATTTAAAAAAGATAGAGGAAAAAAGAAAAGAAAAGAAAGAACCCTCACCACAAAATAATCAATAACCAAAACATAAAACGCACAGAACAAAGAAAGCATGTTAGAAGGTGCAAGAGAAAAAAGCCAAATAACATATAAAGGCAAGCATATCAAGACATCTCAAAGGAGACTTTAAAAGCACAGATGCTTTAGAATCTGCTACACCCAGCAAAACTTTTAATCACCATGGATGGAAAAAACAATATATTCCATGATAAAGTCAAATTTAAATAATATTCACCAATCCAGTCTTACAGAAAGAACTAGAAGGAAAACTCCAACACAATGAGTTTAACTAAACCTATGAAAACACAGGCAATAAATAATCTCACATCAGCATATCCCAAAAAACACAGTTCCTTACAGACCTTGAAAAAACAATACTGAATTGCATATGGAAAAACAAAAAACCAGGATACCTAAAACAATCTTGTACAATAAAAGAACTTCCAGAATTATCACTATCCCTGAATTCAAGCAGAACTACAGAGCTACAGTAATAAAAACCACATAGATCAATGAAATCAAATCAGAGACCCAGACATAAATCCACACATCTATGGGCGCCTGATTTTTGACAAAATAGCCAAAACTATACATGGAGAAAAGAAGTCATCTTCAACAAATGGCGCTGGTTTAACTGGCTGTCGGTAGGTAGAAGAATGCAATTTGACCCGTATCTATCAACCTGCACAAAATTCAAGTCCAAGTGGTTCATACACCTCAACATAAATTAGGGTCACTGAACCTAATAGAAGAGAAAGTGGCATGCATTGGCACAAGAGACAACTTCCTAAACACCAGTATCACTGACACTAAGATGAACAATTGATAAATGGAACCTCATAAAACTGTAAAGCTTCTGTAAGGAAAAAAAAGACATCAATAGTACAAAATGGCAGCCTACAAATGGGGAAAGATCTTCACCAACCCTACATCTAACAGAGGACTAATTTCCAAATATATAAAGAACTCAAAAAACTAGACATCAAAAGACAAAATAAGACAATTTAAAAGAACTAAACAAAGAATTCTCAACAGAAGAATCTCAAATGGCCAAGAAACACTTAAAAATGTTCACCATCCTTAGTTATCAGGGAAATGCAAACAAAACACTCTGAGATTTCATCTTATACCTTATACCAGAATGGCTAAAATCAAAAGCACAAGTGACAGCACATGCTGTTGAGGATGTGGAGCAGGGGGAATACTACTCCATAGTTGGCGGGAGTGCAAATTCATACAGCCACTTTAGAAATCAGTATCGAGGTTTCTCAGAAAAATTGGGAATCAATCTACTTCAAGACCCAGCTATACCACTCTTGAGCATACATCCAAAGGATGCTGAATCATACAAGTGCTCAACTATGTTCCTAGCACATTTATTCCCAATAATTGTTTCCAGAACCTGAAAACAACCTAGATGATTCTCAACAGAAGGATGGGTGAAGAAAATGTGGTACTTTTATACAAGGGAGTATTACTCAACTGTTAAAAGAGACAGCATGAAATTCGGAGGCAAATGGATGGAACTAGGAAAAAAAAAAAAAAAATTATCCTGAGTACAGTAACCGAAACCCAGAAAGACAAACATGGTATGTACTCACTTATAAGTTGATATTAGCTGTAAAGAATAGTCATGTTACAATTCACAGATCCAGAGAATCTAAATAAAAAGGAGGATTTAAGGTAGAACATTTAGATCTCTCTGAAAATAGGAATTAGAATAAATTTCATGGGTAGACCAGGGATGGATGGTAATGGGAATAGAAGTGATGAAGAAGGGCAGATGGAAAATAATAGTACTGAAAGAAATGACTGGAAAATGAAGGCATTTCAAGGTAATGGAGAAATCTAGTGCAAAGGAAACTCCCAAGAATCTACAAGGATAAGCCCAGCTAAGACTCCTAGCAATAGGGTATACCTAGCCTGAACTGGCCATCTTCTGTAATCAGGCAGTGGAGGGATTAGGACACCAACCCAGCCCAATAATGTTTAACCTATAACCTGTCTTGCCTACAAGATGTACTGGGGTTAAAGTAGTTAAGAAATTATGGGAGTGGCCAACCAATGACTTCTCCAGCCTGAGAACCATGCTATGAGAGTAAGCCCACCTATGACACTGCCTGAAGCACCGAGACCCAGAGGCTGAGTAGCCCAGAAGACCTACACCAAACAAGTCTGAAGAAAAAGATGTCAATGTAATGATGCCTAATGATATTCTGCTATACTCATGAGAGTAGTCATCAGAGAGGCTTCATCCAGACACTGGTATAGAAACCCACATGAAAACATTACACTGAGCTTGGGGATTCCTGCTGAAGAGAGAGGAAGGATTATAGGAGCCAGAGGGGTTAAGGACATCACAAGAAAACCCACAGAATAAACTAACCTGGGCTCCTAAGTACTCACAGAGACTGAACCAACAACCAGGGAGCCCGAATGTGACTGACCTACACATTCTGCATACATGTGACAGTTGTCTAGCTTGGTCTTCTTGTGGGAGTAATAGTGGGAACAAGGGCTATCTCTGACTTTTCTATGGCCTTTGGGCCCTTATAAATTATACTGTGTTGTCTTGCTCTAGTCTTAATACAAGGAGAGGTACCAGGTTTTGTTATCCATGGCAGGCCTGCTCTTTGGGGTGAGCAGAGGAGAAGTGGGAGAAGAGGCTGGGAGGAGAGGATGGAGGAGAAACTATGGTCAGGCTGCACAATAATAGATAGATAGATAGATAGATAGATAGATAGATAGATAGACAGACAGACAGACACATAGGTAGACAGGTAGATGACAGATGGATAGATAGATAGATAGATAGATAGATAGATAGATAGACAGATGACAGATAGATAGGCAAATGAGCAAATGAATGAATGAATGAACAATAGTAGACAGGAACTTTGACTTCATCTGTATATCTGAACTTTTATAACTAAACCAGGCCATTTACTGAATTAAAATGCTCTAAATGTAAGCAGTCATCTCAAAAAAAAAAAAAAAAAAAAAAAAAAAAATCTACCTATAGATGACATGCACCTCAACTACTATAAACCTGTAAGTATCACATCACTCCTCCCATGCCAGCATTTACTGTACTAATATGTACTTACCCCCAGGTAAGGGCTTATCCTTATCCACAGTGTTGCTCTCATAATCGAATTCATAACCAAAATGTTTAACTCTTCTGTGTTTTAAGGATTTTTGAACTATAAAGAAAACAAACAGCTTGAAAGAAAGGGACAGCAACACTTCATATTTCACTCAACATTATAAGAAGTTGTTAGGTAATGACAACTTCTCCTAATTGCTAAATTATTGTTTTAATAACATGAGCCATTTTGTTTACATAATTTGTTCTGTTGTGCTTAAAACACTTAAAGAGTTTCACCTACTAACATTGAGAGGAATATGTGTATATCTTGCCACTCACAAGGCTGCTAGTGATCTGGAAAGAGGTGACACAGCTCTCTCTGCAACTTGATTCTCATGGGACATCCTGAACTACTGTTTAGAGGAATCCTCAGGACAGAGCAGAAATGTTGGGAGCCAGGCCAACCTACAGCTTTTTCAGAGGCCCTGATCAAAGAACCAATGGAACACTAGCTCTGTGTCCTTGCCTAGTGGCAGACCTGGCAATGGTCAAGTATGGGATTGAGACCTGGGCCTTGAAGAAGTGAAGGTTTCAGATTCTGGGAATCTGACTTTTCCCCCTTGAGAAACTATAGTTATTAGTCCCAGGGCTACTGAGTGTTCGACACATGGGATAGCCTGTGTTCCTTTGTGCAGCATGGCTTGTTTAACATTCTGGTAACTCTGTTCCATTTTCCCCCTCTAAGTTATATATAATATGCTGTACTTCTTAATAGCTTGCTTGCCATAAGACATAACTTGCAAAGAACCTCCTGACCCAAACTTTCCTGCCTTTATTATTTCTGATTCCCTGGTCAACTCCCTCACAAACTTGTCATTGAACAACGTGCTGGCCAGGTCAAGAACTGAACAAGATTTTAAAAAGTGGAAGGTCTGACAAAAGCTATGTTAACACTCTTCAGCCTGGAGTTTAGAGCTGGTCACTACGCAAATGTTATATATAACAGTATTATATATAATACTGTCCCTAAGAACTGTTAGTGTGGGCTGCCTACTACCAATCCAAGCCACTTCCAGTGATATTGAGGAAAGAGTAGAATGCCAGTAAACATATGGTGTTCAATGAAAGCAAGAGCATAAACAGGATATTATTCAAAAATCTAATTTATGAATCTTGAAGTTTTACTTACAATTCTGATTGTCTGTGTCTCCTGTCCAATTAACACTTTCCAAAAGCATTTTCTCATCCTCAGAAGAAATAATTTCTTCTACCACCAAGAGGCCTGGAGGTAAGGCTTGAAGCTCCAAATGTTTCCATTGTGCTACAGAAAAACAAGTTAAAATAATCATAAAGAAAACTTGGAACTCCTGTACAAAATAAATTCTTCTCCAGAGCCATAGTTTGCAAGGCTCTTAATTGCCATTTTGAGAACTCAGAATGCTGAAAGGCCCACAGAAAATTCAAAAACAAAGACTAAGATCAGAGTTGTACTGTACTTTACTCTCTGCAGTTCTCTTTAACAAAGGATGGCATTCAAGTCTTCTGTTTGCACATGACTGAGTCACTTTCTGAGCCTCATTTGAAGAAAAGGCTGTTCATATACTTATTGCATAAACTGTCATTATAAAACGTCAAGGGTAAAAGAGTACAATATGGGGACAGAAGCCACAAGATCAATGTACTCAATGCAGAAAAGGCTTTACAAAGTACAACATCCCTTTATGATACAATCTCTGAAGAACTAGAAAGTACCAAATCCAGTACATAAAGGCTACAGAAGAAACATATAGACAATTCATTGAACAGGAGAAAACAATGTATTTCCTCTAATTTCAGGACAGCAATGAGATAAAGGTATCCTCTCCCCACTAGAAACAATGACAGGAAGAAATAGAAGGGGTTCACATAAAGAAAGAAGGCAAGGTGTCCACATTTGTGTCTAACATTGTTAGCCAACAGACAAGAAAACATTAAAATTATTTTGGGTATATAACCAGGAGCAGGATAACCGGGTAATATGGAAATAATGTCCACATTCTTAACACCAGTGAGTAAGGGCTCCTCTCTTCCTCCATCAGCCTTTGACCCCAACAGGCACAGCACAAGCAAAGACACCAGCACATACATGTACACACACACAGACACACACCAGCACAAACATATGTACATACACATTCATGTACATCACCATCTTCCCACATACAAAAAATAATTGATAGAGATTCCATAAGAAGAAAACTCATACAAAAAGTAACTTCAAGGTACCTTTTTCCACAAAATTTAAGTACAGAATGATCTTCTGCCCCAAATCATCAATGATTTCTTTTCCATTGAGGTTAGCATAGGCTTTCTTGGATTCTTCGATAGTTTTGTATATTACACATGCATAAGGCTTATTAGGTGGCATTAGGAGAGCTTCCACGTGTCCACATTTCTCTAAAGCCAAAAGCAGTTGCTTCCTACTCACACCATTACCAAGACCACCATTGGCAACAACCAGACTCTTAAAAACAAAGGGAAGGTAAATAAAAAGCAATTAATATGATGTATCATTTGACAATAAAATGAAACCTCATTATTTCAGAATAATGTAATTAAAAAGCTTTCTTTTCTTTGGTTATTTGGTTTACTAGCTTCATAAAAGTGCATAAACCAATTCACTAAATGTTTCAGAGAAAGTTTTCCTAAGCTATAAACATGTATTTTTAAATAGCTTGTAATGATATATGCATTTCTCCATATCCAGAAATGAAGGCTAAAGTCTAACTTCCTAATATGTTCAGAAATAAAGATTAGCATAATGAAAAGGAAGGAATAATGAATGGAGAGAAACATGTAGTCAGCAGTCACATGATACATTTTACCAAAGAATCAATGTCCTACATTGTTTTAGCATAATCTTTAAAACAAAGTAAACTTATTTGTATAATATGAACCCCACTTTATAGAGCAAGACAATATTGAACAGAAAACTGAGTTAAGTAAGTAAGGGAGCACTATTGTTATTAGTCTTCTGGAACCCATACTTAGGGTATAACCATTACACAATGTTTACAAACAGTAACGTCAAGGAACTGGATCAAAGAAAACTTAATTGCAGGTTCATAAACCATGAAAAGTTTCCTGCTCAAGAAAATTAATTCAGTCAAAGTAATTTAGTCAGATTGCAAGTACACTTTTTTCCTTTATAAATTTCAAGTTTACTTCCTGTCACTTTGTAGATTGCTAGGCTCTAGTCATGGGATGCAGGGAACTTATTTTGAAGTTTATAGTCTAGTACCCTTATAGTTAATATACTTAAAAACCATCCTACATGGAGTTAACACATTTACCACCTATTCTTTCTTAATCTTATTTTAGTGTATGTGGGGGAGAGGGGGGATGTATCTGAGGCTATCTGTATAGGTGTGAAGATGTGCATGTTCCACAGTATCCATGTTAAGGTTAAAAGACAACTGTCTAGATGTATTTCTCTCCTTCTACTACATTGGGTCCAAGGACAGAACTCAGGTTGTTAGGTTTGTGTAGCAGACACCTTTGTTTCCTGAGACATCTCACACCTTTAATAACCAGCACACAGAACTCTGTGAGTTAAAGGCCAGCCTGCCCACAGAGAGAGTTCCAAGATAGCCAGTACTAACCCTGTAATGAAAAGCCAAAAACCAACCAACCAACCAAACCAAAAGCCTCTTACCAATTTCATAAATTATACAAGGTGTTATATAATAACAATATTTCAAAGAGATATTGGTCATATAAGTCTCTGAAACACAGCCTCAGTTTGGTTTATTGAATGTGCTATTAAAATGTGAAACCCATTTTAGCTCACAAGACACATTTGCTCTGAGTACAATAGTTTACTGACTCCATGAGTTGTACTATGTTCAAAATCAGTAAATTAATGTTTGTTTTATTACAAAATATGAGGATATCTATAAAATTCCTTGAAAAGGGTGTAATAGAATTATCATTAAACTAGATAATAAGAAAGATAAAACTCTCTTCCCCAGAGGGCACACACAAGTATAAGGATACACATAATAAACTTATTACTACAATACTATGTTAGGCAACATAAAATTTATTCTCATATTGCTTTATCATAGATTATATTCAATAAGGCGTTTTCATTAAAATGCCATTACAATTTAGTTATATGTGGCCACCATTACAAAACCCCCTCCCCCTAGCCCCTACTCCAAATGACTTGACAGATTTTGATGATCCTTCCTGGAAGGCCTCACCCTCGCTGTGGAGTGGGTAGGGAATGGGATGGGGGGGTGTCAGAGAGCACGGGAGGATGGAAGGGAGAGGAAACTGGGATCTATATGTAAAATAAGAAATAATAATAATAATAAAAATTCAAACAAAAAGATACAAAACAAAACATCCTATTTCCCTAAATCTGAGTCAGACATAAAGAAAGAGGTACAACAGTACCATTTCCTAATTCTCATCCACTTAAAACAACAGGATTAAGAAAACTAGCAACCAATTAATTCTTAGAAGACTGTGCAGCAGGTTAGCTAAGTGTCCTGTAATTGTCTCCAGTCAAAATAAATTTAATCTAACACTAGTTAACCGTGTGAGAACATCAGAGCCCACAGGCTCAGTCCTGTAAGCCTGCCCCCATCAGCAAGAAACTATCAGTCACATTTCTGACAGAGTAGTCACAACTCAGTTCCTGAGATTCCCTCCTCAGAGCAGCTCACAGGACTCAGGGAATTACTGCTCATGGCCACTCATTCAATATACAGAAGCTCAGGGTTTTATAGCACCTTCCACATAAGCATGACTAAATACATCATGGGCCACTGGTTGTTATGGTTTCTATGTAAGATGTCCCTTACAGTCTCAAGTGTTTGGATACCTGATCCTCATTGGATGGCACTTTTGTGGAGGTTATGATTGTATGTAGCCTAGTTAGCTGATACTGGCTAGTTGAGGTGGAGTTTGTAGGTTGTAGCTCCACCTACCTTCCCTAGCCACTTCCTATCTGTCATTTTAAGACCTACAATGACATTTCTGCTCAAATGGACTATAGTTTCTAAATTGTGATGAATTTTTTTTTTCCTTTCTCCCTGCTCTGTCAGATACTCTGTTGTAGTGATAATAAAAGTAATTGACACAGTGATCAACTCAACTTTCCTTCCCTGGAGAAGGTATGACTAAAGTCAATTCTCCAACCATACCTTGGCCTCTCCAGTGGTCAGAGGCCACTCAGAAGACATTGGTCACTTCATTAAAAAATAAAAGACAGCTAGATATATTCCTGAGAGTCTTTACTATGAGTTTTAGATATAACATGTCCAGCTTAGAAACAAAGCCAAAGTCAAAAGTAATGTTTATATCTACATAAAGAAAGAAGTGAGTTACATCAGTTGCACTTTAAAGCCCAGGAAACCTCACAGTAGCTCATATTATCTCAATTATTTCCAACAGCCATGAAAAGGTTTGGAAATAAGAACTAAATGAAAACAGTTTATATTACATAACCAAAATATTTTTTATCAAAGGAAAGGTAAGAAAAGAAGATTATATTAGGATATAGTAGATCTACCTTCAGGTTTCTATTCAATCACTTACTGGTTTATATTGAGTGAAGTTACCCTCGAAAGACAATATTTTCCCATCCAGCTCATATAGAGAATTAAACACAGTAGTGAATGTTAAATTTGCTTAATCAACTAAAAAGATTCATACAATGTTATTATTAACATATAATTGCAACATGCTCTAGTTCCGTGGTTCTCAATCTGTTGGTCTCAACCATCAGAAAATGCATACTTCTGATGGTCTTAGGAACTAAAACACCACTCAGTGGCACAATAACAGTTACGAAGTGGTAATGAAAATCAATTTGTGGTTGGAAGTTCCTAAGATCACCAAATATCTGTTTTCCTATAGTTGTGAGTTATGTGTTGAGAATTGCTCTATTTCAACCCACATTAACAACATGAATTCAAGCTACAGACTAAATTACCATACAAATGAAAAACAATACATCCTATCACATGTATATTTAATATGAGTGCAACATATCATTGACCAATTACATCTCTGAGCTATTCTTCACAATATTAACATAATAATTACAATATTGATACAGGTACATTCAAGAGATAATAATAGTTTAAGGTCACCTTAGTGGGATAAGGTACTGCCTGGATGCCTTCATGTTTCAGCAACACATGTCTGGCTTTACTCTGTTTCCTTAAGAACTTCTTCTCCATTTTATTAAGTTTTGGGCCATCTTTCTTATCAATGTTCATAGTAATACTGTAAAGAAAAAGTATAAAAAATGTAAATCTTAAGTCCTAAAGGAACAACTATGTTATTCATATATTCTAGTTTATAAAAATGTGTGTTTTGCAAAAAACCTTAGTTTCTTTTCAACAACTCAGAAAAGTGAAAACAAACCAAAAGGTAAAATTCTTCAGAATATAACACAAAGTCTGTCAGCTTAAGTCCTCCATCATGATGTAAACTTTGGGAGAGTAGGAATGTCAGCATGCAGTCCATACTCAGGAAATAATGTGGAATGTTAAGTGAGTGAGTATGTACACCTATTATGGCTTTAGTGCCATGACCATACAACTACAACACAGTGAGTGGCTTTGTGTAAACTTGTAAGTTAGTTGAGTAAAACAAACACATACCAAAACAAACAAACAAAAAACTGAAAAAAAATGACTTAGCTTCATATAATTAACTACTTAATACAATTGTTGCTTGTGGCATAACTATAGACTAACACAAAAAAATCAAAGTTAACTGCCAAAAATTGGGAAAATTTCCAATTAGAAGGGTTAGAACTACATAAAGATTTTAAAAGGGAGGTATTCAGCGAGGCAATAAAAAGCAAAGGGTAAACAGAAATGTCCACCAACAAGAGTGAAATATAGCTATAATTTGAGTTTGTTGGTATTACAGGTGTGTATCCCACAAACCCAGTTTATGCTTTTTTTTTTTTTTTAACTCACTGTGCAGCTGTACCTGACATCAGGCTCACAAAGGTTATCCTGCCTCATCCTTTGTGTGCTAGTATTATGAATGTGCACCACCATGCCTAGCTGGCATAATTTTTTTTAGAACAGAAAATGCTTATTGAAATTCTAGTTCAGTGCTATACACTTCAAAGTTAACAAATGAAATAAGCTCAAATAAAGTTATATTTTAATCTGGGCAGTGGTGGTGCAGGCCTTTAATCCCAACATTCTGGAAGCAGAGGCAGGTAGGTCTCTGTGAATTCAAAGCCAGCCTGGTCTACAGAGCTAGAGTTGCAGGACTGGCTCTAAAGCTACACAGTGAAACCCTGTCTTGGAAACAACAACAACAACAATATTACATTTCAAAATGACTGGGACCCAGTCAAACTCTATTTATTAGACTAAATTTGAGGACAGAAGAAAAGGGGTATTGGCTCAGTTTCCTAGCACACGGAGCACGTTAAGAGGTAAAGTCAGTAAGGCAGGCAGGTTGGAGAGCAAGGTAGAAGCCCTGGAATATTCCACCTGACCCAATTTACAATGGAAACACAGAAAGAGAGGAAACAGGAAGAAGACAGACCTTGGTGATTATTCAGATGTGAAGAAGAAAAGAATCAAGATAACTGAACAGTTGCTTGGATGCACCTAACATGTGACAGGAGTAAGGTCACTAAGATATTAGCCACAACAGTACTTCAGTTCCCTTCAGCCTGAACACATTCTGATGGTAAGGAGAGTACAGACACATAAAGCCTCTGTCACTAGCTAACTCCAAGTACATCTTTTTTGATACTGCTCCAAGTAGCAACTGTACTGTGTTCACGCCTGAGTCAGAAAACAGATAGCCATGGCTGGAGAGAGGGCTCAGTGGTTATAAACACTGACAGCTTTTCCAGAGAACCTGGGTTCAAGTCCTAGCACATACATCCATTGTAGCTCACAACCAGGAGTGAGCTACCAATAAGTTCCAGGAGATCTGACTCTCTCTTCTGGCCTCCTTGGGTACCAGGTATGCAAGTGGCACACACACACACACATACAGTAAACATATACCTAAAATGAAAATAATCTTTAAAAAACGCTTATCAAGCAACACAGATAAAGTGAATCTTCTGATTGTGTATAACATACTTATTAGCAAACACTAGAAAGAGCACCTAAATTCCTAATTAAACAGAGCTTCACATATATGTTTTATAAATATGAGAAATCAGTTATATGAGTTGGCTCCTGGAAAGGGAACTAGGTAGATAAGGATAGCCTTCCATGACTTTTGAATTTATAAGCTATCCGAACTGCATTATCTACTTAAAAAGAATGCAGAAATATTTAAGCAATTAGAAAAAAAAATTACCCCAGTTTTTTTTTTAATCACACTCCTTTCTAACCTTCTGAATTACACATCTATGTTGTTGTTTTTCCTTACATTCGTCGTTTATTTTTTTTCCTATTACTGCATAGAAAATTAACTACATGAACACAAGGTAGCAAAGCACATCCTTAAACGGGATGTGATACCCAGTAGCAACTCATTAAAAAAAAAAAAAAATTAACCTAAGTAGAATTTGCCATTTTAGCTCCTAAACTTTTCTTCTCTAGAATTCTGATTACCTGAATGTGCTGGACTCAGAAAGTCTCTCACCGGTACAGTCTTGGATACCTGACATACAGCTTGCAACAAACGTTCAAATGAAATCGACTAAAACCACTCCTACCCAGCCAGGGGCAGGACTGATCAAGGAAGAAGCAGAATTGTGGACGAACAGCCACGAGTATGCCTTTGCTTCAAAGAACTGATTAGAGCTGGAAAGGAATTAGGATCATTTGCAGGTCTCCCACCACAGTAACAGCTACCACAGACACCCCTGAGCACTCATCCCACGCCAAACACATGAACACTAAACCCTATCAGAGCTCCCAACACCCCGACATCCCTCGGCCCAAAGGCTGAATTCTCCGCAGCCTTGTCCGCCCATGCGGTCCAGGACAGCAGACAGGAGCTGCCAGGAGTAAGCTACGGTTCGAGACCCTCCATCGCCGCTAAAAACAGGCACCACACACTTCTGCCTCTCCTTACCAGAGATTTTCACCTCCCGGATGGTTTTTCTGTGGTCAGCCAGCCCCTCTCCAGCCTAGAGAACTATGCAAGCGTTCCCACTTTGCCTCACCCGGGAGCCGCCATATTACAGACAATCGCACTACATTTCCCATGAGTCCACGGGACTACCTCAGCGCTCCCACAACCCCCTCTCCCGCACAAAGTCTTTGTTGACACTTTCTCAGCCAAGTATCTGTAAACAGTAGTGTAGAATAGAAAATTCGGCTGCTTTATGTGAGTGAATAGTTGTTACTTCTCCAGAGAAGAGCATGCCAGTTGTTATCCAATAATGGTCAGCCCCGAAGCCACTTAAATACAAGTAACAATACAAAGTGAGAAATTTATATGTACAATTAATAATAAAAAAGGTCACGAGTCTGAAAGACAGCAAGGAGGAGCAGTATAGCAAAGGGTTTGGAAGGAGGAAATGAAATGCATAAACAACATAATTGTATTATGACTTTAAAAATAGGTGTTGTTCCAGCCCTACAGACTACAGCCAGGATATCTGAATCTTCTTCTAATCCCCCCAAGACAGCGCCCCTTACCAGCAGGAAGTAGCTTGGAAAGAACGACGCCCAAATTCCCAAATATTGTGTATAAATGTTTGTTTTCATTTAATTGGACTTTGTTATATAAAATTAAATAAAATAAAAAAATAAATATAAAAAATAGGTGTTGTTCATTCATTATAGTTATAAGAATAAAAGCTGGGGGGGGGGCTCCCGAGTGAGGGTCTCAAGTGAGTGGGGTCCCAAGGTGAAGTACCATGTGGGAGAGCATAGCAGGTTCCATAGCAGGTGAGGGTGACCGAGGCAGTGAGGCCAGGAGATAGAGCTTAAATGAGGAGTTTATTTAGAAAGGGGAGTGAGGAAGAAGGGAAGAGACAGGCACCTGGTACAGAAGAGGAGAGAGGGGGAAGAGAAGAAGAGGAGGGTAGCTGGTGGCCAACCAAAAGCTGGAGAGAGAGGGAGTGGGGGTGTGCAGAGCTTGCTTTAAAATGGAAACTGGCATAACTGAGTCCCCTACACAGCCCTGTAATGAATCATGCATTCACATTCACATTTTGTGAAGCAGATGCTAATTTTTTTTTTGCTCTCATCTATTCATCCCCGACTCAATCTACATAGTCCCACATGGTTCTCCATTCCCCCCCCCCCTTCTGTTTCTTCTAACTCCTTCTTCACTCACTGCCCACCAACCCACTGAAAATATGCTCAGGAGACCTTGTTCCTTTCCTTTTCTGTGAAGGACTTTGTATGAAACTATTAGGTTCCTCTTTGTATCCTACTTTCTCTGGTGGTATGAAGTGTAGGCTGGTGATCTTTTGCTCTAGGTCTAAAATCCATATATGAGTGAGTACATACCATGTTCCTCTTTTTTGTCATTGGGTTACCTCACTCAGGATGGTTTCTTCAAGTTCCATCCATTTGCCTGCAAATTTCGAGATTCCATTGTTTCCTTCCGCAGAGTAATATCCCATTGTGTAAATGTGCCACATCTTCTTTATCCATTCTTTGGTTGAGGAGCATCTAAGTTGCTTCCAGGTTCTTGCTATTACAAACAATGCTGCTATGAACATAGTTGAACAGATGTCTTTTTTAGCATGGATGAGGATCATTTGGGTATATGCCTCAGAGTGGAATTGCCAGGTCCAGTGGTAGACTGATTCCCATTTTCCTGAGGAACCATCATACTGACCTCCAAAGTGGCTGTACAAGTTTGTACTCCCATCACCAGTGGAGGAGTGTTCCCCTTTCTCCACATCCTCTCCAGCATAAGCTGTCATTGGTGTTTCTAATTTTAACCATTTTGAAAGGAGTAAGATGGTATTTCATAGTTGTTTTGATTTGTGTTTCTCTGATGGCTAAGGATGTTGAACACATTCTTAAGTGTCTTTCAGCCATTTTGGATTCCTCTATTAAGAATTCTCTATTCAGTTCTATACACTATTTTTTAATATGGTTATTTGGTGTTTTCATGACTTGTTTCTTGAGTTATTTGTATATTTTGGAATTCAGCCTTCTGTCAGATGTGGGGTTAGTGAAGATCTTTTCTCAGTCTGTGGGCTGCCATATGATCTTTTCATATGCCTTACAGAAGCTTCTCAGTTTGAGGAGATCCCATTAATTAATCGTCAATCTCAGTGTCTATGCTACCTGTGTAATGTTCAGGAAGCAGTCCCCTGTACCAATGTGTTCAAGGGTACCTCCTACTTTCTCTTCTAAAAGCTTCTAGCCAGAGACTTACAAGGATGACCCCAAGTAACAATTTGAGCAACAGTGGAAAAGATACCTTAAATGTCCTTTCCTGAAATTGAGATTGATAACTAACTTATGTACCATCACAGAGCCCTCATTTAGTAGCTGCTGGAAACAGAAGCAGACACCCACAGCTAAACACTGAGCCAAACTCCTTTAATACAGTTGCAGAGAGGGAGGAGTGATAAGAAAAGGGGTCAAGACCAAGCTACAAAAACCAGCAGAGACAAATTAGCAGGATGCAAGAATAACTCAAAAGAAAAAAAAATCAGTAGTCCTACTGTTTATAGATGATGAAGTGGCAGAGAAAAAAATCAGAGGCACATCACCTTTTACAATAGCCACAAACAACATAAAATATTTTGGGATAACAGTAATCAAACAAATGAAAGGCCTACAAAGCAAGAACTTTGTGTCTTTAAAGAAAGAAACTAAAGAAGATACCAGAAAATTGAAAGATCTCCCATGCTCTTGGATAGGTAGGATCAACATAGTAAAAATGGCAATTCTGAGAAAAGCAATCTACAGATTCAATGCAATCACCATCAAAATCCCAGAACAAATCTTCACTGACCTTGAAAGGATAATATTCAACTTTGTATGGAAAAACAAAAGATCCAGGATAGCCAAAAGAACCCTGTACAATAAAGGAACTTCTGGAGGCATCACCATCCCTGATTTCAAGCTCTACTATAGAGCTATAGTCCTGAAAACAGCTTCATATTGGCACAAAAATAGAAGACCAATGGAATCCAACTGAAAATCGTGATATTAACCCACACACCTCTGTATATCTGATTTTTGACAAAACAGCTAAACGTATACAATGGAAGGAGGAAAGCATCTTCAACAAATGGTGCTGGCATAACTGGATGATGGTGTATAGAAGACTGCAGACAGACCTATGGCTATCACCACGTACAAAACTCAAGTCCAAATGGATCAAAGACCTTAACATAAATCCAGCCACTGAACATCTAAGAAGAGAAAGTGGGAGATACCCTTGAAGGGATTTGTACAGGAGACCACTTCCTGAACATAAGACCAGTAGCACCAACACTGAGATCCACAATTAATAAATGGGACCTCCTGAACTTGAAAAGCTTTTATAAGGCAAAGGACACAGTCAACATGACAAAACAGCACACAGCAGAATGGGAACAAATATTTATCAGCCCCACATCTGACAGAGGGCTAATAGTCAAAATAAGCAAAAAACTCAGGAAGCTAGTTAACAAAACACTAAATAATCAAACTAAATATGGATGTATAGAACTAAATAGAGGATTCTCAATGGAGGAATCTAAAATGGCTGAAAGACACTGAAGAAAGTGCTCAACATCCTTAGCCATCAGGGAAATGCAAATCAAAATAACTGTGAGATAACATTTTATTCAAGTCAGAATGGCTAAAATAAAAAATAAAAAAAAATTCTGAAGACAAATTTTTTCTGGAGAGGATGTGGAGAAAGAGGTACACTTTGCTGTTGGTGGAAGTGCAAACTCTCACAGTCACTTTAGAAATCATTATGGTGATTCCTCAGGTAAATGGGAATCAATCTACCTTAAGATCCAATAATTCCACTCTTAGTCATATACCCAAAAGATGCACATTCATCTGTTCAACTATGTTCATATCTGCATTATTTGTAATAGCCAGAGCCTGGAAGCAACCGAAATGTGCTTCAACTGAAGAATGGATGGAGAAAATGTGGTACATTTACACAATGGAGTATTACTCAAGAGGGGAGCAATGGAATTTTGAAATTCACAGGCAAACGTATGCAATTAGAAGAAACCAACATGAGTGAGGTAACTCAGTCACAAAAAGACAAACACAGTATGTACTCATCATATATGGATTTTAAACAGAGATCAAAGGATTACCAGCTTACAATCCACAACACCAGAGAAGGTTAGAAAACAAGGAGGACCCTAAGAGAGACTTACATGGTACCCTGGAGAAGGGGAAAGGAACAAGATATCCCAAGGAAATTGGGAGCATGGAGTGAGGGATTTAGGGAGAAGAGGGGGGCAGGAGGGGGTGTGATTAGGCAGGAAGATTGAGTCAGGGCAAGAATAGAGGAGAGCAAGAAAAAACTTAGCATAATAGAGGGAGCCCTTATACTTTTTATCAGAAATCTGGCACTAGGAAAATGTCAATGTCCAGACATCTTTAAGGATTACCCCAACTAACCATCTAAGCATTTGTGGAAAGACTACTTTAAATGCCATTCCCAGATGAGATTGATAATTACCTTAAACACCATCCTAGAGCTTTCATCTAGTAGCTGATGGAAGGAGAAGCAGACACCCACAGCTTAAACACTGAGCTGAACTTCTGGAATCCAATTGCAGAGAGAGGAGTAAGGAGCAATGGGGTCAAGACTCTGCTCTAGGCACCCACAAAAAGAGCTGACCTGAACAAGGGGGAGCTCATGGACCCCAAAATGATAGCTGGGAAACCAGCTAACACCAATCCAGACCCCCTGAATGTGGGTATCAGTTTGGAGGCCTGGGTAAACTGTGGAGCCTCTGGTAGTGGATCAGTATTTATCCCTTTTATATGAATGGACTTTGGGAGCCCATTTATTATAGAGGAATCTCTCTCTGCCTAGACACAAGGGGGAGGACCTAAGCTCTGCTCCAAATGATATGACAGACTTTGAAGATCCCCCATAGAAGGCCTCACCCTCCCTGGGGAGCAGATATTGGATAGGATAGTGCTTTGGCAAGGGACAGAGAAGGATAGGAGTCAGAGGGAACTGGGTTTGACATGTAAAACAA